CTCCACTGCCACCAGCACCTCTGCCACCCCTTTCCTCAGGTCCTGACATTGTCGAAACTGCTCCAAGGGGCTCTGATACCACTTGTTATAGTCACAATAGGCTTGAATGTGCCTAAAACGAAAGATAGAGAGCACAGACGGATTTCTGCACAGCGGCTTCAAACGTTGATAGCGTTCTGCTCACAGCTGCAAATGACTTGATTCAAATTGGATCTGGAGCGTCTTCACGTCGTCTACAATTAGCAATTTAGATTGCACAATTTGATAAAGAATTGACGACACAGCGTCGGTTTGAACGAACGGTACTATGGCAGCCACTATAGTCTTAGAACACAAGATAGGAAGAGTTACGAGTTGGGAATGACTCCCAGCTCCTACAAACCCCAAGAGCCGAGGTACAGTGATGTGGAACAGTGCCACACTGTCCCCAACCACGAAGGGTCTCGAAACTACCCTTCACTAGGGCCTACACCAAGTGAAATGTTACACTACACAAAGTAATGTAACTATCTTCAATATCTTGAGGTGTACCCTTTTTGGCAAGCTTCGAAATCACTTGAGGCTTGACACCAAGGCTCGGGCTCTTCATCACAAACTCATCCTTGAGTTCTTGATGGGTCTGCTGCACACACCTGCGACACGCCGAACGTTCGACACAGGACAAAATAGAAACCGCGCACGACAAAATAGAAACCGCGCGCGAGACACAAACGACCGCGTAACACGCGTCTAGCGATAACTCGCTATTGACTCGACACACACACTCGACATCATGACTCGACATTCACACACAATTATAAGCATGAAATATATATTATCCCATGCCCTCATACCATTCCATACACACACACACATTCACGCACACGGATAACAAGCCGAGTGCAAACCGTAGGGTTGCACCAACAAATTTCACCCCTTCGAAATGTTACTCGAACATTCGCGAGTGTACTGCGGTTCGAGGTTACATGTGCGACTCGATGTGTTGAGTAGCTATAAACATGTTTGCTTTGTTTGCATGTGATATACTGAACATTCTGAATCACTTTGTATGAAGTGCATTCGAACCCAAAATCCAGAGAGATTCCTATCCTTCAACATAGAGCATAGTCTTCACGTTTCCAGCTATAGCTCGCTCGTTTCTCAGGCGAACGAAGCAATTGACGGCTCGTTGGAAAGCTAAGACAGAGCTCTATCGTTTAGAACAATTCCCAGTTCCTGCAAAGTAGAGGAGAGTCCTTTACAACAGTATGGTTATCCTTGGGTTGGATTTGAATACACTTCTGTGAAAAATATGAATTATACACCCGCAAGTGAAGCCATTCAAGCCCACCTCGACAAAGTTGCAGTGTGTTCCTCCCAACTGTCATGGCAGCATTTTGCGCGATTTTGATTCGATCCCAGAAGGTCAGCCATAGGCAGCACACCGCAGAGCGACACTTGTTAATTTCGCTAAATCGCGTCGTTGTGCTGCGCTGGCTTCGCCCACGCCCCCGCACGGGGCCCAAAAACTGGATGCTGCCTGTTCGCCCAAACAACACACGCTTGACGAGCTTCGCGAGTCGCGACCCACCTGGAAATCTGGTTTCTTTCCTGTTTAGCTGTTTCTGCTGTTGCTCATGGTCATCCCCATACACAAGTCAGTCCCAAAGTGGTGGCGTCCTCTAGAGCAGTAACACCACAGGTGACAGGAGCGACACGAGAGATGAGTGAGTCGAGACTAAGGAGGTTTCCAGGGAAGGTGTGGGAGGTGGACCATAGTCGCCGCCATCTGACCGTAGCGAAGAGGTTAGGAACCTTAACGTGACGACAAGTATACACCACATCACCATCTGTCGGGCCTTTGTTAGATTCTGGTGGTAGAGGCCAAGAATGGCCAACCTACAAGTGGCCAATCAACTCATCGCGACCGATTTCGTCGCGATTCGCTTTGACAATCAAGCTTGGCTGAGAAAGTTAAATCTCTGGAGTTGTTTACATGAGAGCAGACCTCTGCTTAGGAGGGTACAAGAAGCAGACCTTGTGTAGCAATACCAAGCTTGCCAGAGCAACCGCCGTGAGTTTCTCGTAATCATGGAATCGCGACAAGTCCGAGGCCCGGCTTTGACATGCAATCAAGTCGACGTCATCCCTCGCCTCGATCGCACTCAGAGCTACCGGAAAAGCACTCCCGGGGATCGCGCCGCAAGTGACGGCCGCCGTCGCCATTGCCGCACCCAGAGCATGAGCGGCTGGGAGAGCCGCCGCGGCGGCGAGCAAGCCACGTCAGCAGCGACCGTTGCTCCTAAACGACCCGAGAGCCCACCCCAGCTCTGCCTGCCTTCCAGCGTCACGGAGATGAAGCAGGCTTTAAGGAGTATGAAAAGTCGCACGTCGGGGAGCAGCCCGCCCCAGCTCCGCCTGCCTCTCAGCGTGAAGGAAAGGAAGTTGGCTTTAAGACGGATAAAATGCGTGGAGAAGGCGGGAGAGCATACGGGGAAAGGTGTATTTTGCGGTTCCAGTTATCGGAACAATACCAATGCCGCTTATGATGACTCGTTATCGGATAGTCATGATCGAAGATTCTGTCGTGACGATAGCTGCGTTTGTGGCGCTTCGCGGAAGCTGACTGCGACGTTGAGGGCCGGGATCTCTCGTCGGACCAGGGGCCCTGTAGACCGTTGCTCGAACCCCGTCATCGTCGTCTTGACGGACGGAAGCGTGCGACTGTACGACGACGTCGCAGGCAGCCTGCTCGTCGCAGACATCATGGGAGACTTCCCGCGACACCAAGTCGCGCTTTCCACGTTTGCGCCCATTCCGCTCCCCCCTTCCCGCCCGTTGAGACGCGGAGTGACTTACCACTTAATCGAAGCATCGTATAAGCAGGACGACGGAGACAACTGGCAAGATCTAACGTCGCAAGCTGCGACTGTCTCTGGAGTGAAGAATACCGCATCGAGAAAACCCTTGATCGGATTTACACGAAGCAGTAGCGCGCCCAACGGTACCTCATCATCTGCTGATGATACACGCAGTAATGGCGATTACAATACCCTCGGCATACCCGATGGTATAACTCATGGTAATGTTGGCGGTACACCGAATTCAGGCAGAAGCGGCGCGGAGGTGCCGCCTCGGCCGGGGCGGCGGCGCAGCTACGACACAATCCCGATCGCAATGGTCATTTCTGAGTTTGTTCCAAGTCAGCTTGATGAGAATCCACAGATTCATCGGTCTTCATCTGCGCGAAATGGCTCACGAGTTTCGCGACCTCCGGCGTCTCCTAAAGTGGCAGCGCTTCGCTCAGAACAACCATTGCTGGACAAGGAGCTGAGCGTTGAGCAATCGAAGGATCAGAATAAGCCCAACGCGCGCTCGACTATCTCGCGCTTCGCCTCCCTGGCTTCGAGGCCGGAACCGCCACCGGAAAGATTCGCGCAGAAAATGGTTCGAGCGCGCACCCACTCATGCTCCAGCAGGCCTCGTGGAAGAACCGCATCAGACGTTCCTACGTTGGATTACAATGAAAACTACTAGCTTGTTACAAGAATAATATGCTCCATTAGCTTGTTGCCGCCAGTGGAGGGTTAGTTGTAAGGTCTCAATTTGATGCGGTTGAGAATGAGTTTGTTGCGGGGCATAACGTTTTGTCTCTTACACTGTGTTTTTTAACAATAGCCGAGTTAACGGTAGTGACCAGACTTCAGCCAGTCACACGCTGGTCTGGTCTGTGGTCCAGTCTTCACTGCCACATCGAAGCTCAGAAGGCGAAAGCTAAGAGATCCTCGATACTACCACCTCGGTTGGCGATTGATTCATTCTATGATTGATTAATGATTCTGCCATACTGGTCTCTATACTACGGGATACTAGGGAAGCTAAGGGGAAGCACTAGAATATCCATTGACTAAATTAGATTTGAGAACACTCATTGCAACAAACCCCGATCGAGAGCATTGGTGGATGAAGGCTGAACCTTGCCTTGGAACCACTTGGTAATGTAGTACAATGGGAAAGCAACAAAAACAAAGGCAAGCGACGCCATGGAAGGAACCGGATGAGCGAATAGCGACGTTATGACAAGAAATCTGCAACATTAGAGGGCACCACAGCACAGGGAAAAAGGGAGGACATCATATCACTCAAAAAGCTCTAACAAGAATGGTTCCATACAAAGGTTGTATGGGAGTAGAACTGGAAAGCACACAGCTAGAGCATACTTGCAATGGCAGCAGCGAGCTCAGAGTGACAACAAAAGCAGTGTTGGGAGGACTTTAGCACAGACAAACCTCACCCACACAGCAGCGACAGGGGCAGGAAATGAAAACTCACCCACACTCGTACAGCATGAATCGTTGCACTCACACAGCAGTGAGGAGAGCAATGATGGGAGGGAGCGGAAGGAATCGAGCCTCATATGGCCTCGGGCTGACGAGATTGTCCGTAGCTCAATGACACACTCACACACACACACACACACACACACTCACACACACTCACACACACTCACACACTCTCATACACACTCATAGACACTCACACACACGCACACACACTCACAAAAGCTCACTCATACACACTCACACACTCTCATACACACTCAATACACACTCACACAGCAGCGACGAGAGCAATGACGGGAGGGAGCGGGTAGAATCGAGCCTCATACGGCCTTGGGCCGTTGGGGATGTTTATAGCTCTATAGCACACACCCACACCCACACCCACACCCACACCCACACCCACACCCACACCCACACCCACACCCACACCCATACCCACACCCGCACCCGCACTCACACGGCAGCGACGAGAGCAATGACGGGAGGGAGCGGGTAGAATCGAGCCTCATACGGCCTTGGGCCGTTGGGAATGTTTATAGCTCCATAGCACACAACCACACACACACACACACCCACACCCATACCCACACCCGCACCCGCACCCGCACCCATACCCACACCCATACCCACACCCGCACCCGCACCTGCACCTGCACCTGCACCCGCACCCACACTCACACGGCAGCGACGAGAGCAATGACGGGAGGGAGCGGGTAGAATCGAGCCTCATATGGCCTTGGGCCGTTGGGGAACGCCCATCGGAGCTTGACGAGAGCTGCTGCCACTGCTCCATAGAATATCCACGTGGCGATGCCGAAATAGTCTAGAAGCTGAGGATGGGAGCAGAAGACGAATGCGGGAGGGCATAGAAGGGAGACGTGTGGGACGGAGCTTGAAGAGAGCTGCTGCCACTGCTCCATAGAATATCCACGTGGCGATGCCGAAATAGTCTAGAAGCTGAGGATGGGAGCAGAAGAGGAATGCGGGAGGGCATAGAAGAGAGACGTGTGGGACTGAGCTTGAGGAGAGCTGCTGCCACTGCTCCATAGAATATCCACGTGGCGATGCCGAAATCGTATAGAAGCTGAGGATGGGAAACAAGAACAAGACTCGAAAACAGGTTAAGGACAGGTAGTGCTGCTGCTTCTGCTCTGTAGAAAGCCCAGGTGGTAATGCTTAAGTAGAGGAGACTATTTGGTAAGCTGAGCAGAACAGGAAGGGCATAGGGAACAGGGAACAGGAAGGGCATAGGAAACAGGAAGGGCATAGGGAACAGGGAACAGGAAGGGCATAGGGAACAGGAAGGGCATAGGGAACAGGAAGGGCAGGGAACAGGAAGGGCAGGGAACAGGAAGGGAAGGGAACAGGAAGGGCAGGGAACAGGAAGGGCATAGGGAACAGGAAGGGCATAGGGAACAAGAAGGGCATAGGGAACAGGAAGGGCATAGGGAACAGGAAGGGCAGGGAACAGGAAGGGCATAGGGAACAGGAAGGGCATAGGGAACAGGAAGGGCAGGGAACAGGAAGGGCATAGGGAACAGGAAGGGCAGGGAACAGGAAGGGCAGGGAACAGGAAGGGCATAGGGAACAGGAAGGGCAGGGAACAGGAAGGGCATAGGGAACAGGAAGGGCAGGGAACAGGAAGGGCAGGGAACAGGAAGGGCATAGGGAACAGGAAGGGCAGGGAACAAGAAGGGCATAGGGAACAGGAAGGGCATAGGGAACAGGAAGGGCAGGGAACAGGAAGGGCAGGGAACAGGAAGGGCAGGGAACAGGGGGAACAGGAAGGGCATAGGGAACAGGAAGGGCATAGGGAACAGGAAGGGCATAGGGGACAGGAAGGGCATAGGGAACAGGAAGGGCAGGGAACAGGAAGGGCAGGGAACAGGAAGGGCAGGGAACAGGAAGGGCAGGGAACAGGAAGGGCATAGGGAACAGGAAGGGCATAGGGGAGCCTCAGACTACTGTGGCATTGCCACGTTCACCACAGGACTGTGGCATTGCCACGTTCACCACAGGACTGTGGCATTGCCACGTTCACCACAGGACTGTGGCATTGCCACGGGGAACATGGCATTCCGTTCTTCGTGCATGCTAGCTAATCACCAGCTGATTGGCTGCAAAGAAGAGCAGCACCATGGTCCAGCCACCCTGGGCAACTTTTGAGGCGCGTCAAAACAAGATACGACTTAGAGGCACCCCAAAAGTCTCTTGTGCTCGCAGCTCCTCACCTTCTCAAGCTGATTGGCTGCAAAGAAGAGAAGCACCATGGTCCAGCCACCCTGGGTGAAGAGAAGAGCCGCACATGGCAACTGTTCTTCATGCAAGTCAGCTGTTTGTCCCCACAGCTCCTCACCTTCTCCAGCTGATTGGCTGCAAAGAAGAGCAGCACCATGGTCCAGCCACCCTGAGTGAAGAGAGGGAGGTTGAGAGGGAAGGAGAAAAGAAAGAAGCAAGGAAGAATGGAGAGAGGAAAGGTGACGGATGAAAGAACGAGGACGAGACATGCGCAACAGACAGGCATCAAATTAGTGCAGGAGCATTTTTGCGCGCGCGCGCGCAAAAAATAGAATAAAGAAAGAAAGAAAGAAGAAAGACTCGCTTCTCAGACTCTTTGTGAGGTACGCAGCAGCGTAGTGGACTCACTATAAGGCAGAGAGCAGCGTAGTGGACTCACTATAAGGCAGAGAGCAGCGTAGTGGACTCACTATAAGGCAGAGAGCAGCGTAGTGGACTCACTATAAGGCAGAGAGCAGCGTAGTGGACTCACTATAAGGCAGAGAGCAGCGTAGTGGACTCACTATAAGGCAGAGAGCAGCGTAGTGGACTCACTATAAGGCAGAGAGCAGCGTAGTGGACTCACTATAAGGCAGAGAGCATCGTAGTGGACTCACTATAAGGCAGAGAGCATCGTAGTGGACTCACTATAAGGCAGAGAGCAGCGTAGTGGACTCACTATAAGGCAGAGAGCAGCGTAGTGGACTCACTATAAGGCAGAGAGCAGCGTAGTGGACTCACTATAAGGCAGAGAGCAGCGTAGTGGACTCACTATAAGGCAGAGAGCAGCGTAGTGGACTCACTATAAGGCAGAGAGCAGCGTAGGGAGCGCCGGATTTGGTGACAGCCCCAAAGAAGCGAGGCAGACGTCCCTCCCTTGCCATGGCGTACTGTTAATTTAGAAGTGGGGTTGGAGAGGGGTGGGACGGGTGATAAGGTTGAAGGGGGTGAGTGGGGGTGTGGGGTGCACAGCTGGAAAAAGCGAGGCAGATGACCCTCCCTTGCCATGGCGTACTTTTAGTCAAGCAGTGGGGGTGGAGAGGGGTGAGGAGGGGTGATAAGGTTGAAAGGGTTGAAGGGGGAGAGTGGAGTGCACAGCTGGAAGAAGCGAGGCAGATGACCCTCCCTTGCCATGGCGTACTTTTAGTCAAGCAGTGGGGGTGGAGAGGGGTGAGGAGGGGTGATAAGGTTGAAAGGGTTGAAGGGGGAGTGTGGAGTGCACAGCTGGAAGAAGCGAGGCAGATGACCCTCCCTTGCCATGGCGTACTGTCAATCAGGGGGAGTGAAACAGGGGAGAAAGAAAATTGATGGGATTGATGGGGAAAGAGCGGGAGAAACGAGCGAAGCAACCCTCCCTTGCCATGGCACACAGGAGAGAAACAAGCGAGTGTAGAGAAACGCAAAGAGAAAGGGGACATGACAGCTGTTGCGATTGGAGAGAAAGAAGCGAGGGAGACGGCCGTCTGTTGCCATTGCGTTGCGTACTAGACGAAACGAAAAGAAGGGTGAGGATTGATGGGGAAAGAGCGGGAGACGAGAGAAGTGAGGTGATAGGTGAGGTGTTATTTGAAGAGGAAAGCACGGGAGAAGAGAGGGGTTAGGTGAGGTGAGGATTGACGGGGAAAGAAAGGGCGAGTTTGCGCATCCCTTGCCATGGCGTACTGTCAATCAAGCATGAACGGTGAGAGGGATGAGTGTGAGTGAGGAGAGTGAGTGGTGAGTGAGAGGAGAGTGAGAGTGAGAGTGAGAGTGAGAGCGAGAGCGGGAAGAAAAGCTGTACGAAGGGCAAGCAAGAGAATCGCATGCTTGAGGGGTAGAGTGAGACGTACACACGTATATGCCTGCTTGCCTGATTGCATGTTTCCGTGCCAGCCTGCTTTGCTTGCATGCAACTCACAAAGTATCTTGCATTGCACAGCAATGTCCCACTGGCCGAGCCCAGCACGTTAAACGCCACCAGTAGCGCCACCAGCCTGCCTGCCTGCCTGCTTTCATAGCTGTCCGCCTGTGTGTGTGCCTGATTGCCAGCCTGCTGCCTGCCTGCCTGCTTTCATGCCTGCCTGCCTGCCTGCCTGCGTGCTTGCTGCATGCAACTCACAAAGTATCGCGCGTTGCACAGCAGAGTCCCATTGGCTGAGCCCAACACGTTAAATGCCACCAGCAGCGCCACCAGCCTGCCTGCTGCCGGGCCGAACACGAGCGCCACTGAATCCACCGCCACCACCTGAGATATGCCTATGGCTGCAATGGCGGGGAGGGAGGAGATGAAAAGAGAAAGAGAGCAGGTGAGGGGAACACGAGAGCTACTTGAGGCCACCAGAAAGACCAACTGCAGCCTCCAGCCTACCTGCCTGCTGCCGGACCAAACAGCAGCGCCACTGAATCCACCGCCACCACCTGGGATACCCCTATGGCTGGGTGTTGAGGAAGGGAGGAGCCGAGGGGAAAACAAGGAGGGGACGGGCGGCACACACGAACACTTGAATCCACCAGCCTGCCTGCTGCTGGGCCGAACAGCAACGCCCCTGAATCCACCGCCACCACCTGCGATATACCTATGGCTGGTGTGGGGTTGGGGAAGGCAACACAAGAAGATGATGGGAACGAGAGAGGATGTGAGGGAAACACAGGATCTAATTGAAACCACCAGCCTGCCCTGTCTGCTGATGCACTTGAAAATATCAACAGACAGGGCACCTGTATCAGATGCATTGAGTGAGAATTGCCTTACAGTTGATTACCTATACGAGACATGCCTTAGACAGAAGCGCACCACCACATGCTCCCTCACCTTGAGAGGGAAGGATGCAGAGATATGCCACGTTGGCAGACAGCTGGCAAAGGATGGAAGATGGGGGGAAGGAGGGGGGAAAGATGGGGGGGAAGATGGGGTGATGATGAGGAGAAGTTGAGAAAGAAGTCGAGAGGAGGTCGAGGTTCTAGAGAGTGAGGGACGTCGTAGGAGTCACATAGATGCAGTGAACAAAGAAGGCACACACAATGGGCGTCACACTCACCAGTCTAGAAGAATGCTCAGCAAAACTGTACTCGATACAAGCTGACACTATTCAAGCATACACAGTGGACCGCCACTCACACAAACGACGACAGCATCAGCATGATAATGGTCAGCATCGGACAAGAAAAAATAGTATTCAATATACGTGTACTCAATAGAAAATCACTCAATGGACCGCCACTCGCTCAACCGGCATGCCGATGGCGGAGAGCATCAGATTCAATGTGAGTGTACCGAGTCAATATAAGCATACTCGATACATGCATACTCACTAAAGCAGACTCGATACACGCATACTGAGTGGACCGCCACTCACACAGATGACAACCGCAATGAGCATGCCGATGGAGAGCGAGCGAGGCAGGTCCCTCTTTGGGCGTGTGAGAGCATAGAATAGCCCATAGAGAATGGGCGTAGTCAGTTGGCACCACACCACACCACACCACACCACACCACACCACACCACACCACACCACACCACAGCACACCACTCACACAGATGACGACAGCAATAAGCATGCCGATGGAGAGAGAGCGCGGCAGGTCCCTCTTTGGATCCTTAAGCTCCTCCGATAGAAAGCCCAGGCAGTTCCTGGAAGAGATAGAGGCAACAAGGGCAAGATTGCATATCACAGATAGAATAGAAATTGCAGAGTGAAATGAGAGAGCTCAATGGCAGGTCCCTCTTTGGGTTCTTGAGCTCCTCTGATAGAAAGCCCAGCAGTTCCTGAGAGGTATGACAAGGGCGGAAAGCAGTGAGGGAGGGACACAAAAATCGCATGAAGAAGAGTCGATGAGGAGTGAATCAAGCGGGGGCTTCAATGGGAGGTCCTTGTCTTTGGATTCTTGAGCTCCTCTGAGAGGAAACCCAGGCAATTCTTGAGAGGTGTTAAGGGAGGAAGTGGAGCAGAGGGCAAGAAATCATATTGTACAAGGTAAACGATAGAATGAAACGAGAGAACATCATGGCGGGTCCCTCCTTGGGTTCTTGAGCTCCTCTGATAGATAGCCCTGGCAGTTCCTGCGAGATGGTTAGGGAGAAGGGGCAATGCTTTTCATTGCACCTACCAGTGCCACTCTGCCAGTCACCCACCACCCATCCACTCACTCACCATCTATCTATCCATCAAGGAGACATGACGGCAGGCAGCAAGCCCAGCGCCCAGTCTGCTGCAGTCTCCTTGACTCATAGTTGAAGGGCTGCAGTAGTTGTAAAGACGCTTCAGCAAAGGAACAACAGTGAAGGCAGCAGCAGCAGGAAGGCAGGGGGGGGTGTCCAGCGGCTTGTGGCAGGCAGCATACCTTGCTACCAGTGTGCCCTTCTCTTTCTGCCCTCCTACTACTCACTCACCATCCATCGAAGGCCCAAATGGCAGCAGGAAGGTAGGGGAGGGCGGAGACTGTGCAGCGGATTGTGGCAGCTTACCTTGCAGCCAGCGTTCCATTCTCCCACGCACTCACCATCCGTCAAACGCCCATATGGCTGCAACCAGCCCAGCGCCCAGCCTGCTGAGGTCAAGCGAGTCCAGCGGAGGGAGCGGCTGAAGGAGGTTGGCAGTGGCAGTGGCAGGGCCGTGGAGCAGCATGAAGGCAGGGGCGGCGGCGAGGATTATGGCGATGAGGAGAGCCTTGGAGAGGGAAAGCAAATTCTGCAGCCACGTGCCTGCTTCGACTCCTGGAAGTGGGAGGGGGAGAGATGGGTGGAAGCAGAGGGTCCGTGGAGGAGCAGGAAGGCAGGGGCGGCGGCGAGGATGATGGCGATGAGGAGCGCCTTGGAGAGCGATAGGAGGTTCTGCAGCCACGTGCCTGCCTCCACGCCTGGATGGGGGGGGGAGAGGGAAGAGGGATAAGTGGAAGCAGTGGCCGGGCCGTGGAGGACCAGGAAGGCAGGGGCGGCAGAGAGGATGATGGCGATGAGGAGCGCCTTGGAGAGCGATAGGAGGTTCTGCAGCCACGTGCCTGCCTCCACGCCTGGATGGGGGGGGGAGAGGGAAGAGGGATAAGTGGAAGCAGTGGCCGGGCCGTGGAGGACCAGGAAGGCAGGGGCGGCAGAGAGGATGATGGCGATGAGGAGCGCCTTGGAGAGCGATAGGAGGTTCTGCAGCCACGTGCCTGCCTCCACGCCTGGATGGGGGGGGGAGAGGGAAGAGGGATAAGTGGAAGCAGTGGCCGGGCCGTGGAGGACCAGGAAGGCAGGGGCGGCAGAGAGGATGATGGCGATGAGGAGCGCCTTGGAGAGCGATAGGAGGTTCTGCAGCCACGTGCGTGCCTCCACGCCTGGAGAGAGAGAGAGATATTATTGAAGGGGACGAGGTCGGGAAGCGGTGGAGGTGGCACACAGATGGGAGTGGGGAGGATGATGGCGATGAGGAGCGCCTTGGAGAGGGAGAGGCGAGGAGGTACTGCAGCCACGTGCCTGCCTCCACGTCTAAAGGGGAAAGTGGTGGGGATAGATGGAAGCAGAGGGGCCGTCGCGTGGAGGATCAGAAATGCAGGGGCGGCGGCGAGGAGGTACCGCAGCCACATGACTGCCTCCACGCCTGACGGATTGAGGGAAGAGAGAGGAGGAAGGAGGACTGGGCGACGAGGCAGGCGGTGAAGCGGAGAGCTGAAGCAGACTAGGGCTTTGAGTTTCTGGATCTGCATGTTAGGTCTGACTCCTGAGGTCAGAAGAAGAGTTGTGGTTCACATCACAGTCCACTCCACTCCACTCCACTCACACGCATTGCTCACTAGAAACCACGCTCACGTGAAATAAGTGTGTTTTTTTTTTAGACGTCTCGAAAAGGTTCACGTATTTTCACGTCTCAAATACGTCTCCAAAAGGTTCACAGTCCAGTCCACTCACACGCACTGCTCACACTCACTCACACTCACACACAGGAATCCCGCACTGCTCAGACGCACTGCTCACAGTCCAGTCCACTCACACGCACTGCTGACTAGGAATCCCGCCCACACTCACCACAGCAGTTGACAAGAGTAAGCAGCAGCACGCACCCCCCTCCCACCACCATCACCATCACTTCCATCTCCTCCTCGCCCCCTGCTACTGCCCCTGGTAACTGGTGGAAGCATGGCGAGAGAGGGGTAAGAGGAGGAGAAGGCGGATAGAGCAAGGGATGAGGAAAAAAGGAGGGTAAGAGGAATAGAAACGAGTGCATACTTACAGAACAAAAGGCACCCTCCTCTCACCACCACCATCACCACTCCCTTCCCCTCACCATCACTACTCTCCTCCCCTCACCATCACCACTCTCCTCCCCTCACCATCACCACTCTCCTCCCCTCACCATCACCACTCTCCTTCCCCCACCATCGCCACTCTCCCTCCCCCATCACCACTCTCCTCCCCTCACCATTACCACCCTCCCCCTCTCACCATCACCACTTCCCCCCCCCAACGCCCCTCTCCCCTCACCGACGTCACTCCTCTCCCCTCACCAGAGCAACCGCGTATCGGGCGAATGTGACCACAAGAATGGAGAGGGCCCCGCCAGTAGAGACAAAGAAGAACATCCACATGAAGACAAACGACGCGAGCTCTCCAAACGCCACCTGGCAGAGACAGATTTGGCATGGGAATTGATGTCAGGAAAAAGGGTGGTGCATGCGCGAACAGCTACCATTTTGACTGACATGCATAACCACATACACAGGACAGGAGAGGAGGTGGGTTAGAAGGAAAGGTTTTGTCATGCTCTTTGTCAAAGGAGTCTACTTTTGAGGCGCCTCGAAAGTGGGTTAGATAGAAGGAACGGTTTTGTCCTGCTCTATGTGAAAGAGGTGACTTTTGAGTCGACTCAAAAGTCACCTCTATGTCAAAGGACATGGCACTACTAGTGTTTGAATAGAATAGCACACACTTTCAAAAGTAGAGTCCAATCTTGTGAGGTTGAGTGTAGGTTACCTGCAAGTACTCCCCGTCGCCGCCTGCATGTGGGATGAAGCTGCCGAGCTCTGCATACACCTGATGGCATAGGGGTGGATGCGTTGCATGCATGGAGGAGAGGAATGGAGTGGAATAAGGTGGAATGACATGACATGACATGACATGAATGCTCTGCTCAGAACTCCCTCGCTCCATGTACACGTGATGTGATGACAGAGGGGTGGTGGTTTTGTTGCATGGAGAGGAATGGAGTGGAACGGAACGGAATGGAACGGAACGGAATGGAGTGGAATGGAACGGAATGGAATGGAACGGAACGGAACGGAATGGAATGGAATGGAATGGAATGGAATGGAATGGAATGGAACGGAACGGAACGGAACGGAACGGAACGGAACGGAACGGAACGGAATGGAACGGGACGGAACGGAATGGAATGGAATGGAATGGAATGGAATGGAACGGAATGGAATGGAATGGAATGGAATGGAATGGAATGACACGAGTGCTCATAACTCCCTCGTACCTAACCCACCGTCGAGACCTCCTACTCTCCCACCTCCCCACCTCCCCACCTCCCGTCTTCCCGCCTCGCAGCACCCACACACCACTACCCCACCAGCATTATAGCAGCAGTGACAGAAGCGGCAATCCATCCGCACATCCCTTCTTACCTTACAGGCGACCCACCCACCATTACCCCTTTCCCCCTCTCTTACACAACACCCCTTCCCCCTCTCTTCCACAACACCCCTTCCCCCTCCTCCTCACCTCGCAGAAAGCATATCTCACGACCCCCGCCAGAAGCCACATAAGCAGCGCCAACAGCGGCAATCCCTCCGCATTGACATCCCTGGTTCCTTCCTACCTTGCAGCCGACCCACCCTTAACCCTCTTCTCCATCCTCCCCACCCTGACCTCCACCCCTCTCTCCTCACCTCGCAGCATGCATAACCCACGTCCCCTCTCCATCCTTACTGAACTGACCCTGTCTCCCTCCCCCCTCGCCTTCCTGTTCCTGCTCCCCTTCTCGCCTCACAGCAAGCGTACCCCACCACCCCTGCCAGCAGCCGCAGCAGCAGCGCCAGTAGCGGCACACTTACTTATTCTTGTCTCCCTCCTTCCCCCCTTCCCCATTCCCTTGCTTACCTCACAACACGCATACCCCACGATCCCTGCCAGCAGCCACAGCAGCAGCGCCAGCAGCGGCGATCCGCTTGAGTCCAACAGGACGACGCCTGGCGTGGCGAATATGCCGCTGCCCACCACCACTCCCAGCACCATGCTGCTTGGGGGGTGGGGACAAGGGGGGGAAGGGGAGGCAAAAGATGGGAGTTTTGCACACCACACAGCAGCACGACGCCTGGCGTGGCGAATATGCCGCTGCCCACCACCACTCCCAGCACCATGCTGCTTGGGAGGTAGAACACAAGGGGGGAGGGGAGAGAAGGATGGGTGTTAGAGAAGCAGCACCGCTCAGCAGCAGGACGACGCCTGGCGTGGCGAATATGCCGCTGCCCACCACCACTCCCAGCACCATGCTGCTTGGGAGGTCGGAAACAGGGTAGGAGAGAGAGGGGAATCACAGAATCACACTCGTGAGGTCATCACTCGTGAGACAGTCAACTTTCAGAGCATCACGTCAGCAAATCACTTTGAAAATTCTCAGAATTGACACAAGCAATAGCACCTCATTCCGTCGACGACGGCAATCGACCGTTTCAACCCCGCGCGTGGCGATTGCGGGCCAAACCTTTGAGTCGACTAAAAAATAACGTTATTCAAGTCGCACCTGACGCCGTCGACGACGGTAAGCGACCGTTTCAACCCCGCGCGCGGCGAGTGCGGGCCAACGATTTCAGCCTCATCCGCCGAGGGGGGATCATTTTCTTTCCTCGGTGGCGCGAGGCGCGGCAAGCAGGAAGGAATTGGCGCAATGCTATTGGTCGAAGTGCCATTCCTAGGAGGGTTTACGGGCGGTTGAATAAGCGGCACGCGTACGTCTGAATGCTCCGAGGGTTCGGCACGGGGATTCCGGCCTGACGCCATGACGATGCACGATTTCTAGTAACAGCTGCTCATACAATAGACAATATTCGTCACGAATACAGGTATTTTTGCACCATAAAATAGCCAGCTTAGCAAGATGGAATAAGCATTTATTCTCTGCCACACGGCTGCTGGCCTGGTCTGAACTGGACCTGCAAAAGTGGCGAGGGGAAGAAGACGGTGTGGTTGAAGTTTTGGCGAACTCATCCTCGCGACGACGAAAACGTGCGACAACAGTCGAGGTAAACGAGTGGATGAAAGATGTATGCGAGTCATGGCGAGAAGGCCAGGATGTCAGGTAACTGGATTTTGCGACGAAGCTCCGACTACCCAATCAGGCAGACCAAACATAGTTCAAGGTACAGAACCAGACCACGAACCTCGAGGTTCGAGAGCCAATGACACCAGGCTACCTGGTTTGGAGGGTGCGACTTGAGCCACATTATCCACTCAGATTTCCCTTTCGTTACAGCGACATCAAACTTACCCTTTCCCTGTATGGTGAAAGATACGGTATAGCTGCCAATATCGAGTGTTTCTTTGTTACCAGCTCCGAAGATCTTGCAACAGCAGCAGCTTTGCCCTGCTGGAAGGCGGATGAAGCGCTGGAACCAGGTCAGCCCAGCTCGCCAGGGGATTGGGCAACACTCTGGGAGATCGTCCGTCCTGATTGGTTCTCCCATCACGCAGCGAGCAGCTGGTTTGTGGAATTATCCAGTGTAGGCGCCTCCATCTGGCCACACTGACGACACGATTGACCTGCAGCAGTTCTTTACCGACCTTGCGAGCCAATGACCTCAACACATTTCGCAGCGGGGCAATGGCAGAGCAGATTCCGCCACCAGGCCTGCAATTTGGTTGACGAGCTGTCGCCAGTGTAACCACCTTAGGCATTTCTCTAAGCACTTGGCTCGTGTCGTGTTCCCACTGGGTATGACGAATTCTTCAAACAGGCTGAAAGAAAAAACCCTGTAAAAGTGGACCAAGCTTAGCAGAAACACTAAGGATTTACCAGACGTGTTCCGCTTTCGAAACACCCCGACCATTCCGTGGACGCTCTTATCTAAGCGGATGCTGGAAGGGTCGAGTGGAGATGCACAAACCTCATCACACTTTTTTCGCGAATTCGATCTTCTTACTTCGCCTATGGCAGCTGCGACTGGAAGCGGCTCGAGAAAACGAATTCCTCAACCACCACCAACCAAGCCACCTCCTCCTTCCCCCCCCTCACCTCCAAATCCCCCACCCCACAACAAATCCCCCATCCTATTTCACGGGAACTCTCGTCTCTGGCTAAAAGTTCGCTTGATTCCTCGTGTGTGTATGCTTTTCCTGCTCCCTAGCTCTCTGCATAGTAGAGAGTTTAGTGGCGTCTGGGTCGACAAGCCAACCTGGACCCTCGCCTCACTTCTTTGATCCCCACGCGTCTGACTTTCTCGTCTGGAAACCTCGACTCCTCGTCAGATTTCTCCACCAAAACACTGTAGCGAATAACGTCAAGGCTTCTTCCAAGTCTTTCGCGCGCCGCAGTATCTTCCTTTCATTCGCCCACCCACTTCTCGTCGCAAAAGATCACGGCCGAATTTCTCATTAATCAAACAGAACTCAAAATACATATCTCTCCACCGCGCCATTTTTTAGTCGACTCGGAACATCCACGCCACTGCGGCCGCCATGAGCCACTCCTGCGTGCTGATCCCTCCCGCGGCGTGCGACGCCACTGCGGCCTCCCTCGCCGCGCCGCTGATTCCCACCGCCTGTCGCGCCGGCGGCAAAGAGTGCTCCGGCGCGGAGCCGGCGAGCGCAGAAGGCGGCGGCGCGCACGGGGAAAAGCGAGGGTTGAAGCGATCGCTGAATGTCGTCGACGGCGTCTGGTGCGTGTCAATGTCCCTATCGTGACTATTGCAAAGAGAAATCATATTCGCTCCCATCCGCCCCCCTTCCTGCCCTTCTGGGCTCTCATTTTGCACGCCAGGGAAAAGCGAGGATTGAGGAGATCGCTAAATGTCGTCGATGGCGTCTGGTGCGTGGCGTTGTGCTTATCGTGTGTCTTATAACAGAGCGAACTTAGCTCCCGCTTTCCTCCCCTCCTGCCCTGCTGGGCTCCGATTTCACATGCCAGGATCGCTGAGTGACGTCGATGGCGTGTGGTGCGTGACACAGTTAATTCTGTGACGACTGCGACGGGTGCGACGGCCTCCGACAAGTCATCGTGTAGCGACCTTTGACCAGTCATGATGCGATGACCCGTTCTTGGATCGCGGAGAATGCCGCGATGGTGCCGCGTGGCGCTGTGCTTGCTGTGGCAAGGCAATGTCCATCCTCCCGCGGATCGCTCCCTCCTCTTTTGAGGCGCCTCAAAAATGTCCCTCCATCTGCGGATCGCTCCCTCCTATGCCCACTCCCCTCTCCATCACGAGGCAGCATGGTGCTGGGAGTGGTGGGTGGCAAGCGGCATAGTCGCCCCTGCCCTGCTAAGTTCTCATCACGCGTGAATCCCTCTTTCACCACCACCTACCCACCCCCCTTCTTCTCCTCCCAGGTGCTGGGAGTGGTGGCGAGCAGCAGCATATTCGCCACGCCAGGCGTCGTCCTCTTAGACTCTGGAAGGATGTCCTCTCATACCCCCGCCTGACGGCGCTTGGTTCTCATCTCCTACTCCTGCCTCGCCTACCACAATCTACTCCCCCGCCCCTTCGTCTTCTCTTCCCAACCAGCATGGTGCTGGGAGTGGTGGTGGGCAGCGGCATATTCGCCACGCCAGGCGTCGTCCTCATAGATTCTGGAGGCGCGCCCATCTCAGCGCTCATCGTGTGGCTCTGCGCTGGCATCGTCGCCTACTCCTGCTGCGAGGTCTGTAATCCCATGCCTGTATTATTGTGTGCTATTTGCTAGCGCCATACTGCCACCTACTGCTCGTAGTTGACTCGAGAGGCGCGCCCATCTCCGCGCTCATCGTGTGGCTCTGCGCTGGCATCGTCGCCTACTCGTGTTGCGAGGTGAGAGCGTGCCGTCACGAGTGCGGTTACTCGTTCTGTAACACACGCTTTCAAATAGATCTGCGCTGGCATCATCGCTGAGGGTGATGCTTCTCTGACGTGTCTTGCTGACGTGTCTCGTGGACGTGTCCTGCTGACGTGGCAGGTGTACGCTGAGCTGGGCAGCTCCATACCGCACGCGGGTGGCGACGGCGAGTACATCCAGCTGGCGTTCGGAGACCTCCTCTCGTTTGTCTTCATGTGGATGTTCTTCTTTGTCTCTACTGGCGGCGGCATCGCCATCCTTATAGTCACATTCGCCCGATACACCATCGCTCTGGTGAGCTTCCTTGCAGTCACATCCTTTTCAGTCACATCCTTTTCAGTCACATTTTTTTCAGTCACATCCTTTTCATTCACATCCTTTTTATCTCTTCCTTCAACACTTTTGCTGTTTTCCTACTCTACGCTCTCCTCCTCTCACTCAACCCTCTGCTCTCACGCATGCAGGGTGCAAGTGAGGAGCAGCTGGATCTGCGCGTGCTTTGAGGCACTGCATTTGGGACATATTCTCACCTGATGGATCTGGGCGTGCTTTGAGGCACTGCATTTCACTGCGTTGAATCGCACTGGATTGAATCGCATCGCATTGCATTTACTCCCTTCCCCTTTTCACCCCTCCCCCTCCAGCTCCCGGGGCGCCCGCGAGGAGAAGATGAAGATGGGCCTGTGAGGCATTGCATAGCATTCCACTGCATTAAACCGCATTGGATCGCATCTCATTGCATTCCACCTCCCTCCCTCTCCCCCCTCCAGCTCCCAGGCATGCAGGGCGCCAGTGAGGAGCAGATGGAGATGGGCGTGAGAATCATCGGCTGCTCCTTCACGCTCCTTCTCACTGCCATCAACTGTGCTGGTATGCGCTTCAGTGCTCTACTGCTCTACTGCACTCACCACTTGTACCTGCTCTCACTCTCTCTCCTCATCCTCTCTCCTCGCTACTCGTACCGGTATTCCATCCCCTTCACCCTCTCATCATCATCGCCTGCTCCTTCACACTCCTCCTCACTGCCATCAACTGCGCTGGTATGTGCTCTCCTGCACCCACCACTCACCACTTGTGCCTGCTCTCATCCACTCCCTCGCTACATGCCGGTTTGACTTTTGAGTCGACTCAAAAGTCACCTCGTTACCATGGCACACGACACATTACCCACCACTCACCACTTGCGCCTGCTCTCATCCACTCCCTCGCTACATGCCGGTTTGCCATTCTCTCCGCATCTTGGCTGCTACTCCTCTCTTTCTCCTCCCTCCACACCCCCACCCAATACCCGGGGAGTGAAAGCAGGAGCGTTGGTGCAGAACATACTAACAGTCACCAAGGCGCTCCTCATAGCAGCGGTTGTGGCCTGCGCGCCCATCTTCATCACTCCCCTCCTCTTCGTCACTCGTCCCCCCACACAACCCCAACCCAATATCCCAGGAGAGGCAGGAGCGTTGGTGCAGAACATACTCAAAGTCACCAAGGCGCTCCTCATAGCAGCAGTCGTGGCTTGTGCGCCAATCCTTTTCACCCTCCTCCACTCTTTCCTCCACACACTACCCCAACCCAATATCCCAGGAGTGAAAGCAGGAGCGTTGGTGCAGAATATACTGACAGTCACGAAGGCGCTACTCATAGCAGCAGTGGTGGCCTGCGCGCCCATCTTCATCTCCCTCCACGGCACATCTGTAGCCGCTACAAACAACTTGTTCCCTTCCTCATCCCCCCCTTCATTTCCCACGTTCTCCTCTTGCACTGCAGGAGTAAAAGCAGGAGCGTTGGTGCAGAATATCCTAACAGTCACCAAGGTGCTCCTAATAGCAGCGGTTGTAGCCTGCGCGCCCATCTTCATCTCCCTCCACAGCACAGCTGTAGCCGCTACAGACTTCTCCCCCTCCTCCTCCCTTTCATTTCCCATGTTCTCCTCCTCTTGCATTGCAGGCGTCAAAGCAGGAGCGTTGGTGCAAAATATACTCACAGTCACCAAGGCACTCCTAATAGCAGCGGTTGTAGCCTGCGCGCCCATCTTCATCTCCCTCCACGGCACATCTGTAGCCGTTACGAACTTCTCCCAGCCGCTCCCACCTCTCTCCGGCTACAACTGGAGCCGGGCCGGGGCCGGCCTAGTGGCCGCTGTCTGGGCCTTTGACGGCTGGTGAGTGAGTGGTCTTATAACGAGGATAATAACCTTCCTGCCTTCCTGCCAGCTACGGCACATCTGTAGCCGCTACAAACTTCTCCCAGCCGCTCCCACCTCTCTCCGGCTACAACTGGAGCCGAGCTGGGGCCGGCCTCGTGGCCGCTGTCTGGGCTTTTGACGGCTGGTGAGTCAGCTTATAACGAGTACCAACTTGCAAGTCAGCTAGTGCTGCTACAAACTTCTCTTCTCCCAGCCGCTCCCACCCTCTCTGGCTACAGCTGGAGTCGGGCCGGGGCCGGCCTAGTGGCTGCCATCTGGGCTTTTGACGGCTGGTGAGTGAGTGGTCTTACAACGAGGATAATAACCTTCCTGCCTTCCTGCCAGCTACGGCACATCTGTAGCCGCTACAAACTTCTCCCAGCCGCTCCCACCCATCTCCAGCTACAACTGGAGCCGGGCTGGAGCCGGCCTGGTGGCCGCTGTGTGGGCCTTTGACGGCTGGTGAGTGGTCCTATAACGAGGATAAAGAGAGTGAGTGGGTTGCCTTCCTTACAGCTATGGCACGTCTGTAGCCGCTACAAACTTCTCCCAGCTGCTCCCACCCCTCTCCGGCTACAACTGGAGCCGGGCCGGGGCCGGTTTGGTGGCTGTTGTGTGGACCTTTGACGGCTGGTGAGTGGTCTTATAACGAGTGTAATGAGTGTCTGCCTGTAACGAGGATAAGGAGAGTGAGTGGGTTGCGTGCTTGCCAGATACAAATGGAGCCGGGCCGGGGCTGGCTTGGTGGCTGGTGGGTGGGCCTTTGACGGCTGGTGGGTGGGCCGTTGACGGCTCGTGGGTGAGTGGCAGCTTGCAAGTGAGCTAGTGCCGCTACAAACTTTTCTTCACGCAGCCGTTCCCACCGCTCTCCGGATACAAATGGAGCCGGGCCGGGGCTGGCTTGGTGGCTGCTGAGTGGGCCTTTGACGGCTGGTGAGTTCGCCCGTAAAGAGGATAAGGAGAGTCTGCTTGTAACGAGGATAAGGAGATTTAGTGAGCTAGTAGCGCTGCACACGTTACATTTCTCCCCCTCCAACGCCCCGATTCAAGAGCCCAAAGAAAATCCACTCATTTCGACCATCTCAACCGCATTCAACCTTCATCCGGTCCTCATATTCTTGTCCTGCAATTTATCCCTTGACCTATCAGGAACTGCCTGGGGTATCTATCAGAGGAGCTCAAGAACCCAAAGAAGGACCTGCAATTTCTCCCTCATTTCCCTCATTTCCACCTCATTGAATCCTCTTCATGCAATCTTGCCCCTTCCTCCCTTGACCTGGCAGGAACTGCCTTGGGTATCTATCAGAGGAGCTCAAGAACCCAAAGAGAGACCCCTCATTTCGCCCATCTCAACCGCATCCAACCTCCATCCACTCCTCATTCTATCATCAGGAACTGCCTGGGCTATCTATCAGAGGAGCTCAAGAACCCAAAGAAGGACCTCCCACGCTCTCTATCCATAGGCATGCTCACTGCTGTCGGCATCTGTGTGAGTGGCCCTTTCATGTATTAATGGGCAGAGTGCACTTGCTTACTAATGCACCGAGTAGTTTACGTTGGGTTGTGTATGTACGTGTGGGCTTTGCAACCGGAAAACCAACCAACCTCCCCCTTTCCATTACTATGCTCAGATCTATGCATTCGCTCTTCCTTCCTGCATCCCCTTGCTGCGTGTAATGAGTCGTGTTTTGAGTCGGCTCAAAACACGACTCATAACAACCCACCTCCCCCTTTCCATTACTATGCTTAGATCTATGCATTCACTCTTCCTTCCTGCCTCCCCTTGCTGCGTGTAATGAGTCGTGTTTTGAGTCGGCTCAAAACACGTCTCATAACAACCAACCTCCCCCTTTCCATTACTATGCTTAGATCTATGCATTCACTCTTCCTTCCTGCCTCCCCTTGCTGCGTGTAATGAGTCGTGTTTTGAGTCGGCTCAAAACACGTCTCATAACAACCAACCTCCCCCTTTCCATTACTATGCTTAGATCTATGCATTCACTCTTCCTTCCTGCCTCCCCTTGCTGCGTGTAATGAGTCGTGTTTTGAGTCGGCTCAAAACACGACTCATAACAACCAACCTCCCCCTTTCCATTACTATGCTTAGATCTATGCATTCACTCTTCCTTCCTGCCTCCCCTTGCTGCGTGTAATGAGTCGTGTTTTGAGTCGGCTCAAAACACGACTCATAACAACCAACCTCCCCCTTTCCATTACTATGCTCAGATCTATGCATTCGCTCTTCCTTCCTGCCTCCCATTGCTGCGTGTAATGAGTCGTGTTTTGAGTCGGCTCAAAACACGACTCATAACATCCAACCTCCCCCTTTCCATTACTATGCTCAGATCTATGCATTCGCTCTTCCTTCCTGCCTCCCCTTGCTGCGTGTAATGAGTCGCGTTTTGAGTCGGCTCAAAACACGACTCATAACAACCAACCTCCCCCTTTCCATTACTATGCTTAGATCTATGCATTCACTCTTCCTTCCTGCCTCCCCTTGCTGCGTGTAATGAGTCGTGTTTTGAGTCGGCTCAAAACACGTCTCATAACAACCAACCTCCCCCTTTCCATTACTATGCTCAGATCTATGCATTCACTCTTCCTTCCTGCCTCCCCTTGCTGCGTGTAATGAGTCGTGTTTTGAGTCGGCTCAAAACATGACTCGTAACAACCAACCTCCCCCTTTCCATTACTATGCTTAGATCTATGCATTCACTCTTCCTTCCTGCCTCCCCTTGCTGCGTGTAATGAGTCGTGTTTTGAGTCGGCTCAAAACACGTCTCATAACAACCAACCTCCCCCTTTCCATTACTATGCTCAGATCTATGCATTCGCTCTTCCTTCCTGCCTCCCATTGCTGCGTGTAATGAGTCGTGTTTTGAGTCGGCTCAAAACACGACTCATAACATCCAACCTCCCCCTTTCCATTACTATGCTCAGATCTATGCATTCGCTCTTCCTTCCTGCCTCCCCTTGCTGCGTGTAATGAGTCGTGTTTTGAGTCGGCTCAAAACACGACTCATAACAACCAACCTCCCCCTTTCCATTACTATGCTTAGATCTATGCATTCACTCTTCCTTCCTGCCTCCCCTTGCTGCGTGTAATGAGTCGTGTTTTGAGTCGGCTCAAAACACGACTCATAACAACCAACCTCCCCCTTTCCATTACTATGCTCAGATCTATGCATTCGCTCTTCCTTCCTGCCTCCCATTGCTGCGTGTAATGAGTCGTGTTTTGAGTCGGCTCAAAACACGACTCATAACATCCAACCTCCCCCTTTCCATTACTATGCTCAGATCTATGCATTCGCTCTTCCTTCCTGCCTCCCCTTGCTGCGTGTAATGAGTCGCGTTTTGAGTCGGCTCAAAACACGACTCATAACAACCAACCTCCCCCTTTCCATTACTATGCTTAGATCTATGCATTCACTCTTCCTTCCTGCCTCCCCTTGCTGCGTGTAATGAGTCGTATTTTGAGTCGGCTCAAAACACGACTCATAACAACCAACCTCCCCCTTTCCATTACTATGCTCAGATCTATGCATTCACTCTTCCTTCCTGCCTCCCCTTGCTTGCACTCAATGTGTCCTCTCGCGTGGCCCTGCATGAAACCGTGTGGAACCGCATGGCACCGCAACCGACCACATTGAACCGCGTCATCAGCTAGCAGTCAACTCCGCCTACTTCTGCATTCTCCCCCTGGCAGGTAGGCTAGGAGACTCATTAGGGGTTGGGTTGGGATTATCCAGGCTGGGTACACAAGATCATTAACAAGGTGACTTTTGAGTCGACTCAAAAGCCACACAGTATCACTAGCATCACCATAACCTAACATCGCTTACCACTAGTATCACACAGTACCATGATTCCAGCTCCTGCCGTGCACGCGGTAAAAAACTACATTGTTCATGGTGATACTACCAGGTATTCCACCGTGCCTTACACCGTGCCTTACACCGTGCCTTACACCGTGCCTTACACCGTGCCTTACACCGTGCCTTACACCGTGCCTTACACCGTGCCTTACACCGTGCCTTACACCGTGCCTTACACCGTGCCTTACACCGTGCCTCCGTGCCTTACACCGTGCCTTACACCGTGCCTTACACCGTGCCTTACACCGTGCCTTACACCGTGCCTTACACCGTGCCTTACACCGTGCCTTACACCGTGCCTTACACCGTGCCTTACACCGTGCCTTACACCGTGCCTTACACCGTGCCTTACACCGTGCCTTACACCGTGCCTTACACCGTGCCTTACACCGTGCCTTACACCGTGCCTTACACTGTGCCTTACACTGTGCCTTACACCGTGCCTTACACTGTGCCTTACACCGTGCCTTACACTGTGCCTTACACCGTGCCTTACACCGTGCCTTACACTGTGCCTTACACCGTGCCTTACACAGTGCCTTACACCGTGCCTTACACTGTGCCTTACACCGTGCCTTACACTGTGCCTTACACCGTGCCTTACACTGTGCCTTACACCGTGCCTTACACTGTGCCTTACACCGTGCCTTACACTGTGCCTTACACCGTGCCTTACACTGTGCCTTACACCGTGCCTTACACTGTGCCTTACACCGTGCCTTACACTGTGCCTTACACCGTGCCTTACACTGTGCCTTACACCGTGCCTTACACCGTGCCTTACACCGTGCCTTACACCGTGCCTTACACCGTGCCTTACACCGTGCCTTACACTGTGCCTTACACCGTGCCTTACACTGTGCCTTACACCGTGCCTTACATTGTTATTCCACTGTGCCTTACACGGTGCCTTCAACTCTTCAGGCCGCTTCATCGACTGAAGCACCATGCCCTTCCCCCCCCCTTATTCCCCCTACCCCTTCCAACCTCAGCCGTGGCCAACTCGGAAGTGGTGGCGGTGAAAGCAGTCAAGGCAGCGTGCGGCTCTCACTCCCTTCATCCTCTTCCTCTTCTCCCCTCCCCTCCCCCACCCCACCCCACCCATACTCATCTCAGCCGTGGCCAACTCGGAAGTGGTGGCGGTGAAAGCAGTCAAGGCAGCGTGCAGCTCTCTGGTCATTTCATCGCCTCTCTCCCAGTGTCGCGAGTGAACGTGTTTCGGCCAGCAAAGGCCTGGGTGTCGCGAGTGAACGCGTGCGGCTCTCTGGTCATTTCATCACCTCCCTCCGCCTGATTCATCCCCTTCATCCGGTTCCTCCCTCTACTCCCCTCCCCGCTGCTCTCACCTCAGCCGTGGGCAAGTCAGAGGTCGTGGCAGTAGAAGCGGTAGGGGCAGTATTTGGGTCCCCCTCAGGTCAATTCATCCTTTTCAAAATGATCCCTCCCTACCCCTCCTTATCCACCCACCCCTACCCCTTCCAACGTCAGCCGTGGGCAAGTCAGAAGTGGTGGCAGTAGAGGTGGTAGATGCAGTGTTCGGTCCCCACTCCGGCCACTTCATCGCCTGCAACACCATGCCTTTTTCCCCACCTTACTCCCCCTACCTACCCCTTCCAATCTCAGCCGTGGGCAAGTCGGAAGTGGTGGCAGTAGAGGCAGTCAAGGCGGTGTTCGGCCCTCCCTCTGACCGCTTTGCCTTCAGCACCAAGACCTCTCCCTCCCTTTCTTCCCCCTACACCGTCCAATCTCAGCCGTGGGCAAGTCAGAAGTGGTGGCAGTAGAAGCAGTGGAGGCGGTGTTCGGTCCTCACTCTGGCCGCTTCATTGCCTTTCTTGTGGCTCTCAACGTGCTCGGTGCAGCCAACGCGACTCTGCTGTGCCACGCACGCTTCTTTGTAAGTCGGGCATACTGTCATGGTATGCCTTGCAAGTGTACCACAAATGAACTTAATTCAGTACTTGACTCATTCTGCGCGGCTCTCAATGTGCTGGGTGCTGCAAGCGAGACTTTGCTGTGTATGCCTATCCTGCTTCCTGTTCCCTAGCCCTATCTTGTTTTGCTTCACTCGGTCTTCTGAAGACCGAGTGAATTATGTCAGAAGACCTGCTGGGTGCTGCAAGCGAGACTTTGCTGTGTATGCCTATCCTGCTTCCTGTATCCTAGCCCTATCTTGTTTTGCTTCACTGACCTGCTGGGTGCTGCAAGCGAGACTTTGCTTGGGTGCCTATCCTGCTTCATGTTCCCTAGCCCTGTCTTGTTTTGCTTCACTCACGCCATACACAGTACGCCAAGGCAAGGGACGGTCAACTGTTCTCGTTCCTCAGTGCGGTCACCACTGGAGGAGCTCCCTATGCTTCTCTCCTTGCCACTGTAAGCCCTTTGCTCCTGCATCTCTATGCAACTTCACCCTTCTTCACTCCGTCACTTCGTTCCTCAGTGCGGTCACCACTGGAGGAGCTCCCTATGCTTCACTCCTCGCCACTGTAAACACTTTCTTTCAACCTAAACGTCACTTCCTTCTCTTTCCTTCAACTCCCTACAACCTTAATACGTCTATTCTATTCATCCCTCACTGCTGCTTCTACCCTACCTTTTTATCATGCAACAATTTCCTTTTCCATACATAAATTCCACCTTACAACACACCAATGTGGCATGCAATTTCATTTCTAATAATTCCGTTCCGTCAAACTTCCACCATCTACCTCTGTTCATCTATTCATGTCCATTTTGATGCTTTGAAACCTTTATTTCATCTGTCTTCTTCTAGTCTAAATCTTCATGTCTCCCTTTCTTCCCTCCTGTTTCCTGTGATTTCTATTCCAAACCGCAGGGCGGATGGATTGCCGTTGTTGTCTTTGTGGCTGCAAACCATCTTGAGAAGGTACAGTTTATGGAATGCGTGTACATTACATCTGCATATGTATAGTAGTGCATATATCTATATCTATATCTATATGTACTAGTACTTTGTACAAAAAGGGTATATACATTCTCACTTTGTATATGTGACACTCGATTTTGCATAATGTGTAATGGCCTTGTGAGTTCTCCAGACCTTTTCGCCTATAAAATTTCAAACCTTCACTTCTCTTCCTTCTCTCCCCTTAACCATCCAACCATAATCTATGTATTCATAATGTCATCACACCTTATTTACTATTTTACTGGTCTTGCATTGGGCTTCCACATTTCCGTTCCTTCACTCCCTGTGCTCCTTTCCCCGTTCGTTTCCTTCCTCTTCACCTTCAACCCACTTCTGCCCCCTTCATCTCATTCCCACCTGATCGATCACTTCTGCATTTTTTAGGTTCCCCAAAACTTGTCCCGCTGCATGGATGTTCAATGCGCTCTCAAAGCAATTACTTTTGAGAATTCTCTTTTGAGAATCACTTTTGAGAATTCTCAAAAGTGATTTCAATATACCCGCTGCATGGATGTTCAATGCGCTCTCAAAGCCCTCCTCAGACTTTTCCAATTCCTTAACCCACACTGTCTCAATCCCAGCTTATCGACTATTTCGGCATTGCTGCATGGATGTTGTACGGCCTCGTGGGGGCATCACTCATCAAGCTGCGCTGGGACCTTCACCTGCTCTCCTCTTCCCTCTACTTGCTTTCCATATCCCCTCATCCCAATTCTCAGCTGATTGATTATTTCGGCATCGCTGCATGGATTTTCTACGGCCTCGTGGGGGCATCACTCATCAAGCTGCGATGGGTCTTCACCTGCTCTCCTGTTCCTTCCACTTGCTTTCCATATCCCCTTAATTCCAATTGCCCGTTGATTGATTATTTCGGCATCGCTGCGTGGATGTTCTACGGCCTCGTGGGTGCATCACTCATCAAGCTCCGCTGGGACCTTCCCGGCCATCCTTTCCCCTCCCCCCCCATATTCGGTCCCCCACCCCTTCCTCTCATCCCCGGCTTATTGACTACTTTGGCATTGCTGCACGGATGTTCTACGGTCTCGTGGGTGCTCTTCCAATTCCTTTCCCCTGCTCCCACATCCCATTTCCCCCACCTCTTTCCCTCATTGACAGTTAATCGACTACTTTGGCATTGCTGCGTGGATGTTCTACGGTCTTGTTGGGGCGTCACCCATCAAGCTTCACTGGGACCTTCCCTGACCTGCTTTCCAAATCGTTTTACTCTCGCTCCATCCTCTCACCCGCCCAGTTGATCGACTACTTTGGCATTGCTGCGTGGATGTTCTACGGTCTTGTTGGGGCGTCCCTCATCAGGCTGTGTCGGGACCTGCCTGACCTGCCTTTCCTCTGCTCCCACATCCCCCTTGCCCAACCCCTTCCTTTCGTTTCCAGTTGATTGACTACTTTGGCATCACTGCGTGAATGTTCTATGGCCTTGTAGGAGTGTCCCTCATCAAGCTGTTTCGGGACCTTCCTGACCTGCCTTTCCCCTGCTCCCACATCCCCCTTGCCCAACCCCTTTCTCCAGCTGATTGACTACTTTGGCATTGCTGCGTGGATGTTCTACGGTCTTGTTGGGGCGTCACTCATCAAGCTCTGCTGGGACCCACGCTTCACCTACTATTCTATTCCCCTTACCTGCTCTACACATTCCTTTACCCCCATCCTCAGCTGATCGACTATTTCGGCATCGCTGCGTGGATGTTCTACGGTCTCGTGGGCGCATCACTCATCAAGCTGCGCTGGGACCTTCCTGACCTGCCCCGCCCCTACAAGGCCAGCCTCTACCCGCTTCCGGGCGTCATTGTGGTCGTTGTATCCACGTACGTTCGCCCTCCCACCTTCCTTCCTTCCTCTTTGCCTCCTAGAACAAGTAAACCTGCCGCGCCCCTACTAGGCCAGCCTCTACCCGCTTCCAGGCGTCACCGTGGTCGTGTTATCCACGTAAGAAACATCCTTGCCTGCTATTATTCCCTCTAGCCGTTCCTACTATCAAGCATCCTTGACTGCCTTCCGGGCCTTCCTGACCTGCCCCCCCCTACTAGGCCAGCCTCTACCCGCTTCCGGGCGTCACCGTGGTCGTGTTATCCACGTAAGAAACATGCTCGCCTGTTGTTATTCCCTCTCACCGTTCCTACCTTTCAAGCATCCTTGACTGCCTTCCGGGCCTTCCTGACCTGCCGCGCCCCTACAAGGCCAGCCTCTACCCGCTTCCGGGAGTCACCGTGGTCGTTTGTATCCACGCAAGCCCACACCTGCTTATCAACCTTTCTCAGTTCTCCCTGCTGACCTTCCCGATCTGCCCCGCCCGTACAAAGCGAGCCTCCACCACCCGCTTCCAGGCGGCATCGACATCGTTCTATCCACGTAAGTGCCGCCCACACTTGCCATCCTCACCTTCCTGACCTGCCCCGCCCGTACAAAGCGAGCCCCCGCCCGCTTCCAGGCGGCATCGTCATTGTTCTATCCACGTAAGTGCCGCCCACACTTGCCATCCTCACCTTCCTGACCTGCCCCGCCCGTACAAAGCGAGCCTCCACCACCCGCTTCCAGGCGGCATCGTCATTGTTCTATCCACGTAAGTGCCGCCCACACTTGCCATCCTCACCTTCCTGACCTGCCCCGCCCGTACAAAGCGAGCCCCCGCCCGCTTCCAGGCGGCATCGTCATTGTTCTATCCACGTAAGTGCCGCCCACACTTGCCATCCTCACCTTCCTGACCTGCCCCGCCCGTACAAAGCGAGCCTCCACCACCCGCTTCCAGGCGGCATCGTCATTGTTCTATCCACGTAAGTGCCGCCCACACTTGCCATCCTCACCTTCCTGACCTGCCCCGCCCGTACAAAGCGAGCCTCCACCACCCGCTTCCAGGCGGCATCGTCATTGTTCTATCCACGTAAGTGCCGCCCACACTTGCCATCCTCACCTTCCTGACCTGCCCCTCTCGTACAAAGCGAGCCCCCGCCCGCTTCCAGGCGGCATCGTCATTGTTCTATCCACGTAAGTGCCGCCCACACTTGCCATCCTCACCTTCCCAACCTGCCCCGCCCTTACAAAGCGAGCCCCCGCCCGCTTCCAGGCGGCATCGTCATTGTTCTATCCATGTAAGTGCCGCCCACACTTGCCATCCTCACCTTCCTGACCTGCCCCGCCCGTACAAAGCGAGCCTCCACCACCCGCTTCCAGGCTTCATCGTCATTGTTCTATCCACGTAAGAACACCCGCATCATTGTCATCTCATCCCGTCCCACGTCGTTACGCTCCTTACTTGTCCCACAGGCCCACTGTTGTCATATTTTCTCTTGTCACACAGATGATGCGGCTCTGTGCCCCCCGTAACCCCTCACTCACTCCACCCATACACTTCCCTCCCCACTCTTCCCAACTCACCCACAGGTACCGTCTCATCTAGCCTCTTGTCAATCAGCCGATGTGCCCAAGCTTCTTTAGCCCCTCACTCCCTCCATCCCTGCAAATCGCTCCTTTTCTTTCTCTACCCTCACCCACAGGTACCGTGTCATGTAGCCTCTTGTCAATCAGCCGATGTGCCCAAGTGCTTCTTTAGCCCCTCACTCCCTCCATCCCTGCAAATCTCTCCTTTTCTTTCTCTACCCTCACCCACAGGTACCCTGTCATCTCATCTCTTGTCACGCAGCTGACATGCCCGAGTGCTTCTTTAGCCCCTCACTCACTCCATCCTTACAAATGTCTCCTCTCATTTCTCTACAACTCCCCCACAGGTACCTTGTCATCTCATCTCTTCACCAATATGCTCAAGTGCTTCTTTAGCCCCTCACTCCACCACTGCATATCCCTCCCCTCCTTGGTTCCTACCCTCACTACTCACCCACAGGTACCTTGTCATCTCATCTCTCGTCACGCAGCTCGTCCCGTCGCTGCTCTCGCTCGCCTTTGTTTTCACAGCACTGCCCGTTTACTTCGCCATTCACTGCATGAAATCTGCGCCTTGCTGTGCGAATTCGTGCGCCAAAACTCCCACAACGATTAACATAGTACCTGAGAGTGATGTCAGGAGACCTCTGTTATCTTAAGGTGCCATTTTTATTGCACCCATCATTGAGAGCTAGTAGAATATGGCTTTTGCTATCATGAATATGCAACAAATCAAGTGTTATGTTATGAGTTTTAACCTCCAGAAGTATTGTTCTCGGCATAAGTCGGTTTCTGAGATATTATGTAAGCCCATATTATTTATTCTATACCCCCCCAAAAAAGGCTTCTCATGTTACGATTTCTTAGCAATCTCATACCAGTGAATGTTTATGTTGAAGTTATCACTTCATATCGGACAAAGCGCGCCGCAGAAGGTATGGCAATTTGTTCCGAAAATTTGTTCCTCAAGTGCTGGAGTTGCTTGTGGGGGCACAGATGGCTGGCTGCCAAGGAACACAAGAGGCAGAAGAATCCACGGCCCTATCCGCAGCTTTCTCCACGGAAGGCCGCTTCTCACCTATGATTGGTGTTCAGACTTCGAGAAATCCAGCTGGTCACTCAGGTACATCATTCCAGATTTCGCAAGCGTCGCCAGACCAGGCGAGGCATGTGCGATGGACTGCTCCTCATCGCCACGGTCCCCAGCACAGCACCCTGAATTTCACGAACCGCCAGTCGCACCCATAATCGCCGCAGCTGTTTGTGGCTGGCCGATATGGTCGCTCTGCGACAGGCACGCAGGCCAGCCATCACAAGGACATCGCATTTGATATCGTTTATGTCGCACAGCGTCTTCGCTTCGCACACTGCGCTTCGCTTCCATCCCATTCCATTCCATTACGCCCTCCCGCATGCCTCCTCCCCCCTCCCATCCATCCCCCTATTTCATTAAGGCCTTGTAAAGATATTTGTTTGCGGTGCAAACTGTTTAAAAGGACCTTCAAAGAGCTTTTGCGAGTTACAGGGGAGAACAGAACGGTTGAGCCGACACCCTCACCTCAAACCATGCTTACAACCTCGTCTCGTTCTCCCCAACCCAAACCCCCCAGTTCTCCTCCCTTTTTCGTGGAATTCCGTCCTGCTCTTCCACACACCCAACGGTTCTGCTTCTGAGTTTGGTCTAGGGCGTTCGGAGCAGCTTCTGTATCTTCTGGAGTGTGTGTCAAGGCAGGAATAGCTTACTTTCCCGGTCTTTACTCCCACAAGACTGCCATCGGCGTCTCGATCTCTCTCGTTCATCTGTCTGCTACGTCGGAACCCTTATCGTTGCATCCTCCATTATTGGGGTTTAGTTGGACTGCCAGGTCGAGTCGGCCATTAACGGAAGCGCCATATTAATCTCCGGTAGTTGTCAGTTTGTGAAGCAGTCTTAGGATAAGGCGCTGGGCCGCCCAGGCCCTCCGCCAGGCCATTTGAAATGGCCAACTTAAAGACGTACCGGCAGCAGGAGGGGTTTCACGATCGGAAGTCTGCCGTTCCGTCGACGGACGTTCCTCCGTTGGAGGACCCTCTTGCGGGTTATATATTCGTGTGCAACAATGAAACCATGGAGGATGACATAAAACGCGAGCTTTTCGGTGAGCCGTTTATTGCCGATCGACGGGTATCTGTTCTCCTTGGGTGCTGCTTTTGGGTTGGCTGCGACGGGTTGGCTTCAACGTAGGTGACGGGTGACGTATTCGAGCTGACTTTTGAGTGGACTCAAAAGTCAGCCCGTTTCTTGCCGATCGACGGGTACCCGTTCGCCTTGGTGATGCTTTTGGGTTGGTTTCAACGCTGCTGGCGGTTTACGTGTTCGTGTGCAACGACGAAGCGATGGAGGCCGTGACGTGGCGATTGACAGGTTTACAGCTGTCGGCGATCGACAGGTTTGCGTCTCTCGGTGATCGATACGCGATACGCCGATCGAGCCGTAGATCGGCGTTAGGCGAATCGTTCTCAGCCGAAAGCACCTGATGGCAACTACGAACGCACCTGATAGAGGAATGGATTCTCTTTGACCCCTCGATCGCTGTCGAACATTGGATGTCCTCTTTAGTATTGGTTCCCGTCGTACGCGTTCGCGTTGCTCGCTTCATCGCAGCTTCGACGAAGTGACTTCTGAGTCTGCTTAGAAGTTACGTCGTTCACAGTGCTCACGTCATCGCAGTTTCAACGACGTTCTTGAACTTAATGCGCATCCTTCGTTATTTGTTGTTGTTGTTGTTTTTTTTTTTTTTTTTTTTCACTTGAAGTGTGACGGTCTCTCTGTAGTTTTTTTCTTCCGTGATTTTTTCAAGCTGTCGATGGGATCGTATTCAGTCAGTGACAGACAAACTATATGTGCCATTCCCAAGTTGACGTTCGTTTCTAGATCTCCGTTCGATCCTTTTCGAGGCGAAACGAAAGCAGTTTTGTGATACCAGGATTCATTATCGCACGCTGTTTTTCGATCTCCCATGTGTCTTGCTTACAGGCTTACCGCAGAAGTATCACGAGTCGGTTCGGGGGATTCAACCGGGAATGCCGCTGTTTCTCTACAACTACACCACGCACCATTTACACGGCGTCTTCGAGGTGTGTTATCAGAATCCCTTTTGTAGCAAAAGAGTTGTTTGGAACTGAAGAACGCTGCATTTGATCAATGGAAGTGTATACTTTTCCTGCTTTACTGTAAATGCTTTGTGAAGTAGAGACCGCTATGGTATAGGATAGCTTATAGCTAGCGCGTCTGAGAACCGTCGAAGTATCAGATTGCCTCCCTTTCTCTCTCTAACTCCGTCCCCTCACGCTTGATTTCTGTGTACTTGTCTCGCTGCTCCTTCCTCTTCTTGCCTTTTCGTCACCCATACCATTATAGGCATCAAGCGAAGGTGGCCTGAACCTAGACCCGTCGTTATCGAAATTTCCATCACAAGTAAGGTTCACCTTGTGTTCCCTCGCTCTCCTTCTCCCCTTTCCCCTCACCCCTCCACCCCCGAATCCCCCCAACTCCCCCCCCCCCCCCCCCCCCCTCTTCCCCCCCTTTCAACCCCTTATTTTGTTTGTTTGTTTGGTAAATGGTTTTCTTAGCGCGAATTTGCGTGTTGCTGTTCCTGAAACTGTGCTGTCACTGTCTTTTCGCATTGAGCATTGGCAAGCGGACTATCCTTTGTTATTCCATCGCTCCTGTTTTGTGCGACATGCAGGTTAGGGTTCGTCTGCGGGAGCAACGGTCACCGCTGGACGAGACCAAGTTCCGTCGGTTCCTGTACCACTACGACGGGCCCAAATTCCGCCTCGAGCTTTCCCTGACCGAGGTACGTTCGGCTGTAGATTTACTTTCCAACGCAGTTATTCAGTATATACTGGACGAGACCAAGTTCCGCCGGTTCCTGTATCACTACGACGGGCCCAAGTTCCGCCTCGAGCTCTCTCTGACCGAGGTACGCAGGGTTATACGGGCGCTGCTTTTCCCGTTCAGAAGTGAAAAAGAAAAGAAAAAAGGGTGTAGTGATTTACTAATTCAGAGGTGAAATGACCAAGATCAGTTTTGCCGATTTCCTGTATCACTACGACGGGCCCAAGTTCCGCCTCAAGCTATCCCTGACCGAGGTACGAACCGATGTTCTAGCAAGTCGAAAGAACCATGTCATAGAGCATTACTCATCACTGGTGCCTACACCATTGGGACTGATCCAAGTATTGACTCGAGAGCTCTTACTTGATGAGGTGCGTTGGTCATCTAGGGGTGCATTCAACAAGTCAAGTTCCGCCGGTGCCTGTACCAATCCGACGAGGCCAGACTTGGACGCGAGCACTCTCTTTTCGAGGTGTGTAGGGTTACACTAACCCACTTAGATGTGCGATAACCAAGTCAAATCCTGTCGGTTCCTGCCTGTATCACTATGACGGGCCCAAGTCACGTCTCGAACTTTCTCTTGCCGAGGTGCTGTTGGGTCAGAGTTAGCTGAACGAACCAGCTCACCTGGAGCTATCGTCACCAGCGCAGCGCTTGCACTACTCTTGAGGCGCCTCAAAAGTCGTCTCAGAGTTAGCTGAACGAACCAGCTCACCTGGAGCTATCGTCACCAGCGCTTGCACTACTCTGACGGATCCAATCTTCGGCTCAAGATCTCCTTTTTTTCGAGGTCTGCAGGGTTATAGAAGTACTCACTACGTCACCTAGAGGTGCAATCACCAAGTCAAGTTCCTTCGGTCCTGTATCACTACACGACCCAAGCTTTGACTCTAGCTCCCATCGGCCGAGTTACGTTTGGTAATGATTTGAATAACCTGGCCATTCGAACGCATAGCCAGTCACCACCTCCTTCAGAGCTGCCCTCACCACGGTACGACTCGTGCTCCCCTTTGCCGAGTTACCTGCTCTTTTTATCTCAAGTCACCAGGTCATTTCCAGGCACAGTCAGTCGCCGCTTCATCTAGAGATTCCCTCACCACGTTACGTGTGTTCATGGTTCAAAATACGATGTCATTCGTAAGCACAGTCAGACGCCGCCTCATCTAGACTAGAGGTCACCAGGTGTTGCTGCGAGCCTTGCCAAGTCACCCTTGTGTGGTTCGAAAACATTGCTGGTTATACCCAGTCTCCGCCTGATGCACGTTCTTTGAAAGGGGTGGATCCATGCAATGCAAGAACATAGCTTTTAAGTGGACACCTGTACTACTGCAGTAGGACAGATGCGTTCCTAGGGATACGGATTCTGTACTTACTCTCTCTTTGAGGTACTTCGTTTGAGAGGGTTGACTGCAAGAACATGGCTTTTGAGTCAACTTGAAAAGGCTCTGTACCAATGCAGTAGGACGGGTATGTTCTTTCGTGCTAGAACGCTTTTTCGTGACGAGACACGTTCTGTGAGGGGGGCGTATGCAAAAATCAGGTACGATCTATGGGAAGGGTAAATGCAAAATCCTGACTTTTAAGTAAACACACAAGAAGTTGTACCAATGCACCAGGGCGGATACGTTCTTTCATGCTAAAGAACGCTCCTTTTTTCGGAGGAACGTTCCGAGGTACGTTTCGATGTACTTTTTTTTTAGGGGTGAATGCAAGATCATCCCTTCCTGGCAAGGGATGATTGCTTCAGGAACGTTTTTGCTTGGTTGCTGGTCGAAGTTTGCTTTGTGATTGCGTTAAGGCATGGTGGCTTGGAGGTAGCGTGGCCTGGGGAGTTGAGGCGTCTCTTAACGCGAAGGTAAGATGCCCTTATGAAAGGTCTAGGAGGGTTTTTGTTCATTCCTCCTACAGGCGAATATCCTTTTTCGGATTTCTGGTCTGCTGGATTGGGGGGAAGGTGAAAGGCAGCTGCAGCAGTAGCCGCAGCAGCAGCAGCCGCAGCAGTAGAAGGGGGACGAGGAGGGCGGGCAGTAAGACAAGTTCTAGCTCAAGGGCGGGGGAAAGCAGCAGCGCTCCCCCTTCCTTCTGAAGGGGCCGGGAAATACAACAACACAAACTTTTTGTTTTTGCGTTTCCCTCTTCCCTCTTGGTTCTTCGTGCAGGCCAACAACTTGCTGAGAGTCTTTGGTTTGTGGAGTTTTGAAACGTCTCAAAACCCAACCTTTTACATGTGCCTTTTTCCCTCTTGGTTCCTCGTGCAGGCCAACAACTTGCTGCGAGTCTTTGGGTTGCTGGAAGGGGGAGAAGGCGAGGGGGAGAAGCAGCAGCAGGGGGACGAGGAGGGCGGGCAGTGGGAGAAGGTCAAACCCAAGGGCAGGGGTATGCGCGGCGGTTATTCTGGCGGCGGTGGGGGGCATTTCCGCGGGAAGAAGCACGGGCACCCGCATCAGGGGGCGCATTGGCGCTCCGCGCAGAACCAAGCGGGCAATGGCGTGGGGCATGCTGGGGGGGGGGGGAGGGGGAGCAGGAGGAGCGGGCGCAGGGCGAGGGGGAGGCGGCGGCGCAGCAGGGGCAGCAGCAGTTCCGCCGCCGCCGCCCGCGCCTCCCGCAGCTGGCGGAAAGGACAGCGGAGGCCGCGCGGATTCCTCAGGGCGGTGGCGGCAGGGGGAGGCGGACGGCTGCAGCAAGTCGTCCAGTAGCGGGAGCGGACTGGTTTCCCCCGATTTGAGCACCACGGGGGGAAGCAGCAGCGAGGAGAGGTCGTCCGCGGGCGGGGGGGAGCACGAGGCGGAGTGTAACGGTAACGGGGTTCTCCATACGGAGGATAGGCGGAGCGAAGAGTCTTCCTCTTCCGAGCAAGGGGCGGAGGGGGAAAAAGCGGGGGAGGCAGACGCGGAGAGGGCGGAGAGAGGCGGGAGTCCGGGGAAGGCTGCGGGGGAGGGGGGCGCAGGTGGGGCGGGAGGCGGGGGGAGCGTGTGGTCGGTGCGCAGTGCCAATGTGTCATTTGCTGCGGTTTTGCTGGGGAAGGCGGAGGAAGGCGCGGCTGCTGGGGGAAGTCCTGAAGGCGCGGAGGGCACAGCGGGAGTGCCCTCAGGGGGAGGCGCGGGAGAGATTGGCGGAGGGGCAGGGGGAGTTGCAGGCGGAGCAGGCGCAGCAGGGGTGGCGGAGGCGAGCAAGGAAGAACCCCGCTCTGACTCAGCTAGCGCTTCTGCTAGCACTGACGCACCGGCTTCTGTGGCAGGAGCAACAGCACCAGCGCCAGGGGAAACCCGCTCGAGTAGCCCTCCAAAAGAGGGTAAACCAGCGGCTAAAGCCCCGAGTGCGAGCGGGGAGAAGGCTGGGGACGAGGAGGAGGAGGGGTGGATTAAAGTGTCTAGCGGAACCAAGGAGAAGGCGCAAGGGCGGGGCGGAGCAGGGGGAGCGGCGGGAGCTGCTGCGGGGGCGGGCGGAAGGGGGGGGCGGAGGGCGACTGGGGAGGAGAAACCCGCGGGTGTGTGGGTGAAGAGGGGGGCGCCTGCTGCAGGAGGGGGCAAGGAAGGCAAGGGCGGGGGAAAGAAGGGGGCGGGCAAAGGGGCGGATAGGACCGCAGGGGGTGCACCTATTGCTGGTGTGGGGGCTGCTGCTGGTGCAACGGGTGGTGCTACAGGCGGTGCTGCGTCTACCACGGCTGTAGCAGCCCGCGCTGGTGGGGAGGACGGGCAGGCAGCAGGTGCCTCTACCGGCGCTGGCGCTGGCGCTGCTACAGCCGCGAACGACGCAGCTGCTGCTGCTACAGCCGCGGATGGGAAACCGCTGGCAGCGGCACCACAGGCGGCGAGGTCTCGGCGCCCGGCGTGGCAGGGGAACGACGCGGCCATACTGAAGCGTCTGGGCGACAGTGGGGCGGGGCAGGGAAGTGCAGGGCAGGCAGGCGGTGGCTCTGGGTCAGCTGAAGGGAGAAGCCAGAAGCACCAGGGGTCGCAGTCTCATGGCGCTGGTGGTGGTTCTACCAGTGGGAAGCAGGACGGGCAGAGGCAGCAGCAGGGGCAGCAGGGCAGGGGTGGGAAGCAGGCTGGTGCGGGTGCGGGTGCAGGGGAGAAGGGAAAGGATGGGAGGAAGGGGGGAAGTGGGCGGCACGATGGGGCTGCAGAAGGGAGTGCTGCTGCTGAGAGTGGTAAGGCAGGGGATAAGGAAGAGGGGGTGGAGAAGGAAGGTGGGTGTGAGAAACCCGGGGAGGGTGGGACGGCGGGACAGAAGGGGAAGACCCAGGGGGGTGAGAGTGAGGGTGGTGCTAGGAAGAACAGTGGTGGTGGAGCGGGGACAAGAGTTGCTGCTAGGGTTTCATCTCAGCCGCAGCGGCAGAATCAGCATCACAACCACCATCATCATCACCAGCACCAGCAGCAGCAGCAGCACGGGGACAAGAGTAGTGCCTCTACTGGCGTAACCCCTGGAGCTTCCACTGGGGTATCTGCATCAGGTGCGTCATCTGCGGCCTCTCCACATCAGCACACCGCCACAGCTCCTACCCATGCTGCTTCTGCTGCTGCTGCGGCGGCGGCAGGCGCTGGGCAGCCGATTCTGCACATGCAACGGCAGCAGCAGCAGCACCAACCGCACCACCAGCACCACCAGCATCACCAGCATCAGCACCAGCACCAGCAGGGGAATCAGCACGGGCGGCCTATGAGGTATCAGCAACGCCAGGGGGCGCCTGCGCCTGGGGGAAGCAGCGCTGCTGCTGGCGCTGGGGGGGGCAGAGGAGGCGGGTATCGGCACGGGGGAGCAGCAGCTGCTGCTGGGGCAGCAGGAACAGGGGCAGGGGCAGCAGCGGGGGTGAGGCAGGCTGGAGGTGGCGTTGTTGCTGGTGCCTCTGCAGCTGCTGCGGCGGCGGCGGCTGCAGCAGCTTCTTTGAGCGGCGTTGGTTCCGCTGCAGCTGTGGCTGGTGCTGCTGGTGCTGCTGGTGCTGCTGGTGCTGCTGCTCCTGCAGCAGCAGGGCAAGGACGTGGCGTTATTCCTGCAGCAGCAGCAGCAGCACCAGCAGCAGCAGCATCCGTTATTCCAGGCCCCCCTTTCCACACAGGAGCTGCAGGTGTCCTCCCTGGGGCCGCTCCTCCCTCCTCTCTCTACCACCCTCTCCCCTTCACTCCACTCACTCACGCCGCAGGCCAAACCCCCCTCCACCCGCACGCCAACCCCCACGCCCACCCCCGCGCCCACCCCCACCCGCACCCACTCCCGCACCTGCATCCGCGCATGCTAGCCGTGCCGATTGCAGGGTTCCCCGCGTTCCCAGTGCCGCCAGCTGCACTGCTGCAAAACGCGGCGGCGCTGCACGGGGAGGTGCTGGCGTATGCAGAGGAGGTGCGGCCGCCCAGGGAGGCGCGGGTCAGCGCGGAGCAGGCAGTGGCGTGTGTCAGGCGGACGGTCAGGTCGCTTTGGGAAGGAGCTGACGTTGAGGTGAGTAGTCGTGCTGAATATTGGCCGAGACGCTTATTGTGACTTATGGCGGTGGCCTTGCTGTGTGCTCACATTGATGTTGATGTGACAGTGATTCGTGCACCCCAACCCCCCAAACCCCTCAAAAAACATCCTCCAGTCCCATTCCAGTTTTCCTCCTCTCTAGTTGCTCTCCCGGTTTTGCCCATTCCCTCGGGTGTTTGGCTCTTTCGCCATGGGCTTGCCCTCGCTCACAGCAATGTTGATGTGCCAGTGATCAACGCAACCCCTTTCTCCCTTCTCCCCCCTCTTCCCCACCCCTCCAAAAACCCCTTCCACTCCCACTCCTGCTCCCTACTTCTCTATCCGCCCTCCCATTCACTCCCATTCTCTCAGGTGTTTGGTTCATTTGCCACTGGCCTTGCCCTCGCTCACAGCGACGTTGACGTGGCAGTGATTAACGCACCTCCTCCACCCGCTGACCTACCAGAGCTTGCGACCCTGTCAGGTGTGTGCATTCATGAGGCTTTAGGTGTTTGACTTTTGAGTTGACTTATGAGTTGAGGTGAATGTACTGACTTGACTCAAAGGGCACCCGTTCCAATTTGTTGACCTACCAGAGCTCGCGACCCTGTCAGGTGCGTGCGTGCATGAGCCTGTCAAGTGCGTGCATAACTTTTGAGGCGCCGCAAAAGCAGTGATTAACGCACCTCCTCCACCAGCTGACCTTCCGGAGCTCGCCGGCCTGTCAGGTGCGTGCGTGCATGAGGCTCTAAGTGTTCGACTTATGAGTCGACTCTGAGGTGAATGTGCTGACTTGACTCAAAGGGCACCCGTTCCACCCGCTGACCTACCGGAGCTCGCCAGCCTGTCAGGTGCTTGTGTCCATCAGACCGTAGAGCTAGCTCTACAGATGTAGAGCTAGCTGGAGCTCAGGCTTTTCAGGTGCGTGCATCAGTGCACGCCGCTCATCCGGCATCTAGTTTGAGCTCTGTATCGTGTGCGTTATAGAATCCTTCTTCTCTTCTCTTCTCTTCTCTTCTCTTCTCTTCTCTTTCTTCCTCATCTCCCTCCTCTCCCTCCTCTCCCTCCTTCCCCCCGCTTCCCAGGTGCGCGCATCAGTGCGCCGCTCATCCGGCAGCTAGCAGCTGCGCTGAAGAAGCAGCCGTGGTGTGAGAGCCTGCACACCATTGAAACCGCCCGCATCCCCGTCATCAAACTCAAGTGCCGCCCGCTGCCGCCCGCTGCTGCTGAAGGAGCAGAGGAAGAGAAGGAGAAGGCCCCGTCGTCGACTCCTGAGCGGGGTGCTGGGTCTGCAGGTTCCACAGAGGGGAGCGGTGGGGGGTCGGTGGGAGAGAGCGAAGCAGGAGAGGCAAACGGCACAGCGGCGGCAGCAGCAGGCTCGGCAGCAGCAGGTTCGGCGCTGAAGCCGTCTGCTTCGGCGTCGGACCTGGTGGGGCCGAGCGTGCAGGGAGTGGTTCGGATGGACATCACATTCTCCCTGTCGCGCCCCAGGGGCATGGAGGTGGGGGATGCTGCCAGCAGGGTGCTGGCTGGGAAGCTGGACGAGGCGGCTGCGGCTCACAACGGGTCGGCCGCCAGGGAGCTTGTGATTGAACGCCTCAGGAAGATGCCCGCCCTCGCCCCCCTGGTGAGTGAATGGGCTGGGCTGGGTTTCCCTGGTGAGAGTGAGTGCACGAGGAGTGAGTGGTTCAGATGGACATCACAACGGGTCGGCCGCCCGGGAGCTTGTGATTGAACGCCTCAAGAAAATGCCCGCCCTCGCCCCCCTGGTGAGTTGTGGGAGTCCTTGGGCTGGGCTTTCTTGGTGAAGTTACGGGCTGGGGTTGTCGCAGGTAAGTAAGGGATAGGACCTGGAGGGACTGAGTCACAGAGTGCGTAGGAAATGGTTCGGATGGACATCGCCTGTTTGTTTCCACTCCCTCCGCCAGGTTCTGCTGATGAAGTCCTACCTGCACCACTGAGTCGAGGCCTCGAGGACGTCTACTCCGGCGGGCTGCGCTCCTCCCTGTGCATCCAGCTAGCCGCCCTTGTGCTGATTTGCATGCTTGCATTTTATCTCTCCTCCCTCCCGTTCTCCCTGGTCCTGCTCACCAGGTGCTGCTGATGAAGTCCTACTTGCACCACCGAGGCCTCAAGGACGTTTACTCCGGCGGGCTGCGCTCCTCCCTGTGCATCCAGCCAGCCAGCCAGCCTTCCTTGTGCTGATCCGCTTGCCTGCCTGTTTCTTTCCTCTCCCTCCCTCAGGTGCTGCTGATGAAGTCCTACTTGCATCACCGAGGACTGAAGGACGTCTACACTGGCGGGCTCGGCTCCTTCTCTCTGACCATGATGCTCGTGTTTTACCTCGAGGTATGTATGTCCGTTGAGCCGCCTTAATTCGTGTTTCTCGACCATGGTGCCCTTCTTCTACCTGAAAACTTTTACTTCGATTTGTGAGCTGTGGTGAGTTCCCGTTCTTTTTGTATGCAGTGTGGTCCTTCCTCCTCTTGTTTCTGCTGCTGTTGCTGTTGCTGCTGCTGTTGCTGCTGCTGCTGTTGTCGTTGCTGCTGTTGCTGCTGCTGCTGTTGCTGCTGCTGTTGTTGCTGCTGCTGCTGCTGCTGCTGTTGCTGTTGCTGTTGCTGCTGCTGCTGCTGTTGCTGTTGCTGTTGCTGTTGCTGCTGTCGCTGCACCATTAGGGTTGAAGTCTGGTGTTCAACGCTTCTTTGTATCTGTTTTCTCTCTTCTCTACTTTTCTCCTCTTTCTCACAGAGAGCCCCTGTGGCATGTGGCATGGCGCCCCCTCCTGCTACTCCTGCTCCTGCTGAGGCAGCAGCCAAGTCACCAGGATCCAAGTCTGCAGATTCCAAGGTTGAGCAAGGCACTGGTGATGCTGCTGCTGCTGTTTCAGCGGAAAATGCGACTGCTTCAGATAGTGTTACCACCGCCGCAGCTGCTGCTTTGGGCAGCGATGATGCCACTACTACTGCTGCTGCTGGTGATGGTGCTGCCGGGTCTTCAGATGCTGATGCTGCAGCTGCCACAGAGGAGAAACCATCAGCTGCCGAGAATAGCAGCAGCAGTGGCAGCAGCAAGGCGGGTGATGTGGCGGCAGTGACTGCTGCGGATGGGCCTGTAAAGGGGGTGGTTGTGGACGACTTGCCAGGCTCGGCGCAGTCCGTACCTGTGCCGAACCTGGGAGTGCTGCTTATCGGCTTCCTGCATCTGTTTGGTCAGGAGATCGACCTTTCTCGCGTGCGCCTCATTCTCAGGGTAAGTGAGACGATAGATGGCTTCTAAGGTGCCTCAAAACGCAACACAAATCGGTTTCCTGCATCTGTTCGGCCAGGAAATTGACCTTTCTCGCGTGCGCCTCATTCTCAGGGTAAGTGAGAGGATAGTAGGCGTGTTCAAATAGGTCTGTTCATGCCTACATGAGGGTCTGGTCGCGTGCGCCTCATTCTCAGGGTAAGTGAGACGCTAGTCAGTTTTTAATATGCCAAAAAATTCAACATGTATTGGATTCCTGCATCTGTTTGGCAAGGAAATTGACCTCTCGTGTGCGCCTCATTCTGAGAGTAAGCGGGACGACAGGGTCTGAATGGCATGGCTGAATGTTTGTTTTTAGGGACCTCTCCATGCCTCCTGCTGCTGCTGCCCTCTCGCTCTCATTCTCATTCTCATTCTCATGTCTGAACGGCATGTCGGGCGGCGTGTTCTGGCGGGAACCCTCCATGCTGCCAGCTGCTTGCGTCTTACTATCCCCCTCATTCCCCTCCATTCTCTCATGTTGATCCTTTTGTTCGCCCTTCCACTACCATCTCCCAGGGTCTGAACGGCATGCCGGGCGGCGTGTTCTGGAGGGACCCCTCCATGCCGCCGGCTGCTCTCTGGATTGACGATCCGCTCCGCCCCGGCGCTAACATCGGCTCCGGCTCGTTTGCTATGTGGCACGTGCAGGTGTGTGTGTGTGGGGGGGGAGGGGGGGTATGTGGGTGTGCATGTGTTTGGCTCGTTTGCCATGTGGCACGTGCAGGCGTGTGGGTGTGTGTGGGGGGGGGGGGGGGGGGGGGGGGGGGGGATGGGGAGTATGTGGGTGTGCATGTGTTTGGCAGTCAGTTAGACAAAATCAACGCGGGGGAGTTTCCAACACTTGGGATATACATTCAGAGGCAGTGCATTTTCGACATCAACTACCCAGAAAAACCAAGTGAGTATTTCACATAGTTGTGAGCATCAGCCCATGCAAGGTTCAACCTTGGAATGTACAACTGATGCTCACAACTATGTGAAATACTCACTTGGTTTTTCTGGGTAGTTGATGTCGAAAATGCACTGCCTCTGAATGTGCATCCCAAGTGTTACAGACTCCCCCGCGCTGATTTTGTCGGACATTCCCAATTTCCCTGCACCAGACGCGCTTCTAATTGTCTGATATCCCTCCATCACTTGCTCCCTCACCCATCTCTTCCTCTCCCAGGCGGTCATGCAAGAAATCCTTCACGTCATCTCCAAGCCCCTCTCCCCCCCACCCCTTCCACTGCCACCACCGCGTTTCTAATCTTCTGTACCTCCCTCCCCTCTCGCTCCCTCCCGCACTCGCTCCCTCACCCATCTCCCCCTCTTCCAGGCGGCCATGCGGGAAATGCTCCACGTCATCTCCAAGCCAGTCGCTTCCCCGTCCACCACTGCTGCTGCCGCTCCATCCCCACCAGCTGCTCTCCTTTCACACTCCCCGCCCAAGTCCCCACCCGCTGCTCCTGCTGCTGATGGCAGTGCAGCAGCAGCAGAAACAACCCCCTCCTCCTCACCACTACCTGCTGCCCTCGCTGCTGCTGATTCCACCCCTGCCGACGCTGCCACCACTGCTCCCACACCCGCTGCTGCTGCTGCTACTCCCCGTGTCTCCACCCCCTCCTCCAGCCCGCTCCTCTCGTCCGCATCTCCCCTGCTCGCCTCCCCATCCCGCCCCTCGCCCTCTCTCCTGGAACTCGCCTTCTCCACCCGCCTGCCCATCACCCAGTCGCTCAAACCTGCCGAACTTGCATTCCATGCCTTGTCTGTCACTGCTCCTCCTCCTGCTCCTGCTGTTGCTCCTGCTCCTCTCTCTTCTGCTTCTGCTGCCTCTCTGTCTGTCGCTGCTGCGCCTTATGTCTCGGCACCTGTTCCTGCTGCTGCAGCCGTCGCCGCGGCAGAGTAACAGTCGTCTTCACCTTCCTGCTGATTGTCCTTCGCATGTGTTTTACTGCTATTTTTTTTGTTTTCCCGGTCTGCTTTTTTCTAGTCGGTCAGTTTTGAGGACGGATACAGCTGCCCACTTTTAACGGGTTGCTGGAGAGACGGAGCGCTGCTAACACTGAGTGGTGGAAAGAGGCAGTTGGGAAGAATCAACTCCTTTTTCTTTGGAGCAGTTGGTTGGCTGTTAGCTTGAGCCTTGTGCGTCCATTCATTTACACAGAAAGCTAGTAGTGGCAGCATCGGCACCAGCAGCAGCAGTGGCTGCTGCAGCAGCTGCTGCTGCTAAGGGCAGCCGGCTTTTAATCCTGCTAAGGACAGTAACGATCTAGTCGGCACGAACAGGTTCAGGGCAGGTCTGTGATACAGTCGGATTTGGGAGCTTTGATTTTATTACATCACTTGGTTGGAGCAGTTTGATCGCAGGGGTTGCAGCTACAGTGACAGAAAGCTGAGATGGAAACAGTTTTATTTGCAAACTGTTGACAGAAGCAGGGGTTTTGGTGGCACGGCAGCAGTATGATCCGCAACTGCAGCTGCAAAAGTTTCAGTGACAGCTACAGCTACAGGGGTTTCAGTGGCGGTTGCAGCTGCAAAAGTTTTGGTGGCAGACGTTTCTTGCAGGTTTAAATTTCAATGGTTGATTTCAGTGGTTGAACCTTCATCCAGCTGCAAGAATGTTGGTGGTTCTGGTGGCAGCAGCAGGAAGAAGAGGCGGTTTCTACTGCAGCTTGCAGTTGCAGAAGTTTCTTGCAAATGCATTAATTTCCATGGTTGAACCTTCGTCCGGCTGCCGGAATGTTGGTGGTTCTGGTGGCAGCAGCAGGAATAGCAGGCGGACGCGGTTGTAGCTGCAGCAGCTGGAGGCGTTTTGGTGGCGACAGTTGGGAGCAAACTGATTCGGATTGCAGACAGCTCTGCGTCTTAGTGATACCGTATCCTCATTGGCTGCCTCAGAAGCAGTGCAGGGCAAGGGAGTCTCGTTCGGGGACCGGCGCAGTTGGTGATGGTTTTTGAGCCATTGAATGTCTACATTTGTGGGGGGACGTGGGAGGAATACACCGTTGGATGGGACTTTGAAGGATAGTGCCTTCGATGGGGATGCGGGGTGGAGGCGAAACTGTGTGCAGTGTGCAATACATTGCTTCCCGTTTCCTGTACGGGGAAAAACTTGCGTTGTCTGAAGACTTGCAGTCTTTCATTCGTCGACATACCTGCTCTTGAGAGGGACGGGCTGTCATTCTGTCATTAGGTTGTCGTGTGTGTGTGTGTGTGTGTGGGGGGGGTGGTGTGTGGGATTAATTCTCTGTTTTTTTGTTTGTTTTTTGTTTTCTCTTTTGTGTGTCGGGTAGGTTGAATATTTGAAACAATTTTCTTCCAAAAGCGGCATTTTGCATGACCGATTGGTGCTGGTTTTCTTACAAATAGTTGACTCTACACCCTGTGCTGCAGTGTTTGTCATGTCATGTCATGTCATGTCAGTCCACATGATGCCCGTTTGAGCCACTCCCGGTTGCCTTGTGAAGGGGGCGCATAAGCTGTCACGTGCATTTCGCAAAAGTTTCGTCAATTCGCAGCTAGCAAAAAAGGATTCGTCATGTGCTTATATTTTTTTTGTAACTTATCCGTTGACATTTTGACTTCAGTCTCTTCAGTTGGACTTCGGTCCGTTCGTTATTATTGGTTCAGAACCACTGCAACTTGCGCGACGTGCTTGTTGTTGGAAACAATCAGTCTTAAGCGCCTCTGTCGTGTCGAAACACCAAGACACAAGCGAAGCAAAGCATATCGAGGCACCAGCGAGTCAACCCTCGGAGGTTGAAGTAACCGCTGGAGGTTACGCGAAAGTCAAAGGTCAGCGACCTTTGACCTGACAAATACAGCGCGACAGCAAGGACACACAACTGACTCGCTACAGAGCAGTTGCCCGAGTCGTCACTGTATCGAACCGCAACAGCAACAGTAAAACAGTTATAACCGTATCCCTTCATATTCCTTGTACTCTTATATAATCTTGTATCTCTTTGTCTTAATCAATCGACTTTGCCCTCACATACTAGCGCAAGGTGGTTCAAGCACTTCTCATTAAAGCTTCCGCTATTACATCAGTCCCACTCAGAGTTCATCCCTGCAAAGATCCTAAGGGCTTTTTCTCAGCCCAACATGGTATGAGAGCAGTCAGGGAGAATTCGACTTCTATTAAAATACCGACAGCATCAACAAGCATGGCTACACAAAAGGAAAGGAGCTCCTCCAACGGCTCCCAAGGCACTACTCCTACTCCACCTCCTGCCTCTGGCCTGCAGACAGAGGAGGGCACGGCAACAAGACCAAGAGCAACCTCTACCGAGACTCCTGCAAATCAACCTGCAGGCTTCGATCAGAGCATGATGGAGAAGTTTTTCTCCTTCATGTCCTTCTACGAGCAACACCAACAGTCGGCACCTGCGCAGTCGAACAACAGCAACAACAACAACGGAGCAACTCCCATGAGTCTCGACGGCTCATCATACGCACGAGGAAATCAACAGCAGCCTACCTTTGCTCCGTACGAGCGCGGGTCCATCAGTTTTATGCCACACCCGCAGCCTTCACCTAGACAAGAAAATGTCAGATTTATATGACAGAGCTACTGTAGGCTATAGTGGGGTAGCACATATGGGGTACAGTTTTCTAGGGTTTGTATTTGTACCCAACTTTCCCTTAGTCATTCTCATTCCTCGTTTCTTCTCATGGTATCGAGCAGGTTCCCTAGTGGGAACGATTCCTAGGGCCCACCACCACGAAATTTTTTTTTCCTGCCCGGAGCGCGCTTCGCTCAGGCCCGAGTCGCGCCCTGGGTGCTCCCCCCTACCGTCGCGCCCTCACGGCCCCGTCGCGTCGCCCTTAGCGGCCCCCTCACGGCTCGTCGCGCCGCCCCTTACGGCCCTTCGTGCCGCCCTTACGGCCCGTCGCGCCCGTCGCGCCGCCCTTACGGCCCCTCGTGCCGCCCCTTACGGCCCCTCGCGCCGTCCCTTACGGCCCCTCGCGCGGCCCCTTACGCCCCTTACGGCCCCTCTCGCGGCCCCTCACGGCCCCCCCTACGGCTCGTCGCCGCCCTCCGCGGCCCCGCCACCTACCTGTGCGGCCCCACCACCTACCTGTGCGGCCCCGCCACCTACCTGCGGCCCCGCCACCTACTAGCGGCCCCGCCACCTACCTGCGGCCCCGCCACCTACTAGCGGCCCCGCCACCTACCTGCGGCCCCGCCACCTACCTGCGGCCCCGCCACCTCCTAGCGGCCCCGCCACCTACCTGCGGCCCCGCCACCTACCAGCGGCCCCGCCACCTACCCGCGGCCCCGCCACCTACCTGTGCTGGCCCCGCCACCTACCTGCGGCCCCGCCACCTACCAGCGGCCCCGCCACCTACCGGCGGCCCCGCCACCTACTAGCGGCCCCGCCACCTACCTGCGGCCCCGCCGCCTCCTCTCAGCGGCCTCGCCGCCTCCTCCCAGCGGCCCCGGACGCCGCCCTCTCAGCGGCCCCGCCGCGCCGCCAAGCAGCCGAGCCGCCCAGCCGCCGAGCCGCCCAGCAGCCGAGCCGCCCAGAAGCCGAGCCGCCGAGCCGCCCAGCAGCCGAGCCGCCGAGCAGCCCAGCAGCCGAGCCGCCGAGCCGCCCAGCAGCCGCGCCGCCGAGCCGCCCTGCAGCCGAGCCGCCGAGCCGCCCAGCAGCCGAGCCGCCGAGCCGCCCTGCAACCGAGCCACCCGAGCCGCCCTGTCCGGTAAGAGCAGCGCCTCTTTCACAGCACTGCCCTCACCCTACTGTTTGCGCTGCTAGTCTACTGCTGTCATGGCTACCCCTAGTGTCCTCGCTTTTGATGCTGAGGGTCGGGCCATTGACTTTGACGTCTGGATAGATGACCTGCAGCTTTTCTTACAGTGCGACAGAGCAGACGGCCTCTCCCTCTTTGACCTCACTTCTGGTGCCTCCCCTGCCCCCGCTGCTGATGCTGACGCCACTGTTCGCTCACAGTGGGCCACGCGCGATGCTGCTGCACGTCTTGCTGTGCGTCGCCACCTGCCTACCTCTGAGCGTGCGCACTTTAGCCAGTACAAGAGTGCTCACACCTTGTACGACGCTGTAGTTGCGCGCTACTCCTCCCCTGCCACTGCTGCACTGAGCCGCCTCATGCTACCGTACCTCTTCCCTGACCTTGCTGCCTTTCCCACAGTCGCTGACCTCATTACGCACCTCCGCACTAGTGACACTCGCTACCGCGCTGCGCTTCCTGCTGAGTTCTGCGCCAAGAACCCCCCCCCCATGTACATCACCCTCTACTACATAGTCACCCGGCTCCCTGACTCCCTTCGCGTAGTCAGGGACCACTTCCTCTCAGTTTGCCCCACCACTCTCACCGTTGACCTCCTCGAGAAGTCCCTCCTAGCAGCAGAGAAGAGCATAGTAGCTGTAGGAGCCTCTCGTGGTGACCCTCGCACCCCCATCTTTGAGGGGTGTTCCCCCTCCCCCCTTTTGCCCTCTGTTGCCTCTGCTGCTGCGGCCGACCTCGTTGGGCTTGAGTCGGTCGGTGCGGCGTCTACCCCTAGCGGGAGACGCCGCCCTGGCAAGGGCAAGGGGGGCAGGGGCACTGGAGGAGCTAGCGGGGGCGGTGGAGGCGGCGGTGGAGGCAGTGGAGGGGGTGGGGGTGGCGGTGGGGGTGGTGGTGGGGGTGGAGGTGTCGGTGGCGGCGGTGGAGGCGGAGGCGGCGGCGGCGGTGGCGGTGGGAGCGGAGGTAGCGGCGGTGGAGGAGGCGGCGGCGGAGGAGGTGGAGCTGGTCGGGGTGGCGCTGCGCAGAGGGTCGGCTCCGGTGGTGGTCAGCGCCAGCAGCAGCAGCAGCAGCAGCAGCAGCAGCGCACTCGTGACATCCCCCCCCCTCAGCAGCTCCGTGAGTGGTACGCTGCACGCCAGCGGGGTGGGGGTACTGGTC